TCAGTTTGTTTCCTACAATTAAGAACCTCTCATGGTTTGCCTCCCTTTCTGTTTTCCTCTTATTTTATTTTTCCTCCCCTTCCCCTGTTTTCATCTGTTTTGTTTCTTAGATTACACATATGAGTGAAATCATATGATAACTACCTTTCTCTGACTGACTTATTTTGCTTAGCATAATATCCTCTAGCTCCATCCATGTTGTTGCAAATGGCAAGATTTCATTCTTTTTCCTGGCTGAGTAATATTCCTCTGTGTGTGTGTGTGTGTGTGTGTGTGTGTGTGTGTGTGTGTGTGACATCTTTATCCATTCATCTGTTGATGGACATCTGGGCTCTTTCCATAGTTTGGCAATTGTGGACATTGCTATATGGAGCACTAATTTTTAATTTTTTTTCCCAAAACAAAATGAACTTTTTACATATTATGTATGTGACATTCATTAATTTTTTTTTCAACCAACAATGAATTAATGAACCCTCATACGTGCCAGCCAATGTACTGGGTTTTACAGGAGATATAATTATGGCCTTTATTCCTCATGCACTCTTGAAGAATCTTGGAGAGGTGACATCTCTTGTCCTAGTTCATGCTAGGTCTGCTAGGATTGGAACACAGAATTGAAACATGGGGTTGACTGAGTCCAGAATCTGAGCACAACCAGTGAGCTCCTCTGTCTCCAGGAGGGATGCTGAGACATGAAGAATGGATTTTTGAAATATTCTGGTTGGTAGCATCCAGATCCCCTTGGGAAACTGACTAGAGAGTCAAAGAAGGGGACAAAGATGTGTGGTCAGAAATGAAACAAAACAAAAAGCCCACAGGTTGTATTCTGATAGAGAAAAGTCCAGTGGTTGGCAAAAGGGAGAATGCTCTGGCTTGGGAAGCTCTCAGGGCAGGGGGCACCCTTCTTGGCACTTGTGAGGTGAGAATTCAGACCATTTTTTGTAGAGGGGGTGGGAATCTCAGCGAAAGGGACTGGCAGGCACAAAGGTGAGACAACATGAGATGTGTGTCTTTGAGTCATCCCTTTTGTCTCCTGACCGGGTGTGTGAAGCAGGAAGTTATCAGCTTCAAGTAACAAAGCACTGATCTCCAAGTGGCTGGAACAATTAGGGCAGTTTTTCCCTTACTGAACCAAAAGTCTGCAGATGGATGGTTTTAGGGATGATCCAGCAGCTGATCAATGTCATCGAGGATTTTGTCAGCATTGCCTGTCCTGCTCTTCTCAGCTCAGCCTCCCATTGGATCTTCAGGAAGAAAGGGAAGGGGGCCACTGCTCCTCCCACTCTTTATCAGGATATAAAATCTTTCCCTGATGGGCTCCCAAACTGAACCACACCCACTCTTAATCTTAATCCTTAGCCAAGGGAAACGGGATTACCATAACCGGTTCGCCTTCCTTGAAGACACTGCCACCCACCTACAATCAGGGATTCCAACAGGAGTGGCCATGCTGTGGGTGTTGGGTGCCACAGCATGTGCCTGGTGGTGAGCAGAGAAAGAGCTGAAGATTTAGGTGAGGCCCCGACTCAGGGCAGGAATTGGGAGATTTGGTCAGCCCTGGGGCTGTTGGCCAGGACAGGTAGGGCGTGTATGAAGGACAGGGAAGGGATTAGGTTGATAGGCAGCTGGAAAATTGATGGGGTGGGAGGGAGGATATTGCAAGAGCCCAGAGAGAGACGGTGAGATCCTCATTAGGGTAGCCATAGCAAGGGAGGGGTAAGAGAGGACATTTTGCAGGTCACATTGATAGAATTTGTGTTTTTATAAATTTACACATTACCATGCGATAGTGAGTCATGAGATTAATATTGACTTAGTGGTTCCAACTAACCCAGCTTTCAAAAAAAAATCTTACCTCCTCAAAATCCTGTATGTTTTTAGCCTCTTTAACCGACTTTGTCCTATTTCCTTTTAAATCTTTTTAAACATTGCCTCTTAGTCCTTGTGGGAATCTGAATACTCACCCCCAGTACCGGTGCTTCCAGCATTTTCCCTTGACTCAGTTTCTCACACTACCCTCTCCCTGGCTCATCCCATGCACTCTCGTGGGATACAGTGCCATCTCTCTACGCTGACAGCCTCTAAATCTATATCCCAACACAGTCCTCTTCCTTAGCTGCAGACTTACATATCTAACAGTCTACTACACATCTCCACCTGATGTCCTGCAGGCTTAAAAATGGATCAGTGGGTTTTTTTTCAATGAAATAAAATAGAAAATATCAAGGTGCATTATACAGAATAATGCAAGTGTTTTTTAATAAAGCTTTTGCTTCACACCATACATCTATGTGTCTTGTGTCATGGCCAAAAAAGTTTTAAAAACAGAAACCAGGGGGTACATGGGGGCACAACTGGTTAAGCATCTGCCTTCAGCCCGGGTCATGATTTCAGGATCCTGGGATCAGCCCTATGTCAGGCTCCCTGCTCACTGAGGAGTCTACTTCTTCCTCCACCTCTGCCCATTCTCCCTCTTTCTTAAATGAATAGATTAAATCGTAAAAAAAAAAAAAAAAAAAAAAAAAAAAACCGCACGTAGAAACCAGATAACAAGCTAGACATAATGATGAAGGGAGGGGGAGGAGCCAGGGATTTCTGCAATGCAGACAGGGAAGTGAGAAGGAGCTGGTTTCTGCGGAAAGTTAGAACTTTCATTTTGAACAGAGTCTGGTTTACAGTAAATCATGCACCTACCAGAGCTGCTTCTTTCCCTACCACTTCCAGCTTCAGGTCAACGTATATTGAATGAATGCTCTGAGGAATGAGGGAGTTTCCTCTGAAGGGCATTAATAATTAGCTCCCAGGAAGTGGCAATGCTTTGAAGGGGGAACTAAATTTACTGAACCCTTATTGTGTGCTGGCCTCTCTGCATCCAGTTTCTAACGAGAAATCCTCTTAGCAGCTTGTGTGAGGCAAGTACCATTTTCTTTATTTCACAAATGAGGAAGCCAAGGTTCAGAGAGGATGAGAAAGTGTCTCAGGTGGTGCAGTTAGGGAGTGATTTGTTTTATGTCGCCAGTGAATGTCATCACCTCTGAAAGCATCAACCACCATGGCTCCTTACGGCCCCCTGTATTAGTATCCTAGAGCTCCTGTAACAAATTACTCTGAACTGGGCAATTAAAGCAACACAAATTTATCCTTTCACAGTTCTGGAGAATAGAAGCATGGCATCACAGTGTAAACAGGGCTGGTTCCTTCTAAAGGTGAATCGGTTGCACACTTTCCTCCTAGTTTGTGATGACCTGCTGGTGATCCTTGCCTTCTTTGGCTCATAGATACATCACTCCCACTTCTGCCTCTGTTCTCATATGGCACTCGTATGGCCCTCTTCTTTTAAGGGCACCAGTCATATTGAATTAGTCACTTGACCCTACTCCAGGATGACCTCATTTTACCTAATTACATCTGTAATGACCCTATATCCAGATAAGGTCCCATTCTTAGGTACTGAGGGCTAGGACTTCAACATATTTTTTTTTTCTTTTAAGATTTTATTTATTTTATTTTTTGAAAGAGAGAAAGCGAGAGAGGAGCAGAGGGAGAGAATCTCAAGCAGATTCCCCACTGAGCACAGATTCCGACTCGGGGCTCGATCTCACTACCCTGAGATCATGACCTGAGTTGGAATCAAGAGTCAGAAGAAGGGCAGCCTGGGTGGCTCAGAGGTTTAGCGCTGCCTTCAAGCCCAGGGCCTGATCCTAGAGACCTGGGAGGGAGCCTGCTTCTCTCTCTTTCTCTCGAATAAATAATAAAGAGTCAAAAGCATTTTTTAAGGCAAGATATTTTATTTTTTATTTTATTATTATTATTTTTAAAGATTCTATTTATTTGAGAGAGAGAGAGCACAAGCAGGGGGAATGGAAGAGGGAGAAGCAGGCTTCCCACTGAGCAGGGAGCCCAACACTGGGCTCTATTCCAGGACCCCAGGATCATGACCTGAACTGAAGGGAGATTCTTAACCTACTGAGCCACTGAGGCACCCCAGTTTATTTCTTCTTATAGCCCTAAGTTTTCCAGGACTTGGTAAGATTCCTAGAATTCCTAGGAGTAATTCTTATGAATACTTAGGAGTCCCTACAGCTCCACCGCCTCCTGGACAATATCCACAAAGACACTGGCGCCTCATAAAGGCACAAACCCACCACCTTTCCCTTCAAAGGCCACCTGCCTCCTGGCTTCCTTGCTTTTCACGTAACTAGCTAAAGTCTCCCCACCTTCCAGACAGAATCTTTTCCTTTTCGCTCTCCGTACACCTTCCAGGTTCAATTCCTCATGGCTGCCTGTCCCTTGGGAAGATACACCAGCGCCCTGCCTCCTCCTGGCTTCCCCGGCTCGCCTCCAATCCGGCTTCACACTTGTACAGGTGGCCCAGTTTCCAGAAACACACCTCTGGTCTGACCCTATGCAACATTCATTTGACAACGACTCATTCCCCCCACCCCTCACCCCCGACCCGACCCGATCCATTCTGAGTGGACGGCGGCTCCGACTCGCAAGGCTCGGAGGCAGGGGCGCGGGCTCCTCGGCCGCCCTTCCTGACCCCCTGCCTCTCCGCGTAGTGATGGGGTCACTGGTGCAGCGGCCCGCGCTCCCACCACACTCCGCCCCCTGCACCCCAGGCAGGGCTGCCACGGCAGGGCCGCACGCGACCTCATCAGCCCACGCGCCTGGAATAAACCCAGGGAGGCTCCCTGGAGGAGGGACCTTGCCAACTACGGACTAAAACTGGCCTAGGCGTTTGCCTCCCAGAGATTCGGACAGCCGGGCCGAGAACGTTTCGGGAACGCTGTGGAAGGACGGTGCGGACCCCCCAGGGGCTGGGCTGGGCTCCCCCACCCCCACCCCCACCCCAGCCGCCGGAGCCCCGCAGCGGGGAAAGCGGCTTCCGCACCTCCCGCCCCGCCCGCCTCGGAACGCCGCTCGGGCCGGAACCTTTCTGCCGCGGGCCCGGGCACTTCCCGGCGAAGCACAGACATGCGCCGGAAGTCGGTGGAGGAAGACTGGAGCGTGGGAACCCAGTGCTTGATGTGGGAGGATGAGCGTCCGTAGTCTCCTCGTGGCGGGAGGTAGGGTTCCCGCCTGTCCTTGGCCGCTGGTCCTGGAGTGGATCCTCCCGCAGGCCCCGGGGTGTCCTCGCTGAGCTGACGGCGCCTCGGACCGACCATGCTTCCCGGCGAGGGGTTCTGCAGCGGCCCCTTCCCCAGCGGGGGGCGGACGGGGGGCGGGGGCTCAGGGGCGACCTCCGGGGGCGGGACCGTGTCCACCTCCACTTTACAGGATTCTTTCTTTTTTTCTTTCTTTCTTAAAGATTTTATTTCTTTATTCATGAGAGACAGAGAGAGAGGGGCAGAGACACAGGCAGAGGGAGAAGCAGGCTCCACGCAGGGAGCCCCACGTGGGACTCGATCCCGGGTCTCCAGGGTCACGCCCTGGGCTGCAGGCGGCGCTAAACCGCTGGGCCCCCCGGGCTGCGCCAGGATTGTTTCTTTTATGGTGTGTTTTTCTGCTGGCCGTAGCAGTCCGAGTAGAAATCTTGAAAAGTGTACGGGTGAAAATAAAAACCGCCCCTTGCATCTGCCACTCAGCTGAGACATTTCTCATAAACGTGTACAATTTAATTTTATTTGGTCCCAACGCATGAGAAAGGAACTAGTGAAAATGGATGTGGAAATAAATACTAAGAGATATTAATTACAAAAAGATCCTTCTAAAGTTAATGTCAAACAGGTTAAGTAGTTGAGGTCATTCTTTTTGTTTTTTAAGATTTTTATTTATTCATGAGAGACACAGAGAGGCAGAGACACCGGCAGAGGGAGAAGCAGGCTCCATGCGGGGCGGCCGGTGTGGGACTCGATCCCTGGACCCCAGGATCACACCCTGAGCAGATAGATGCTCAACCACTGAGCCACCCAGGTGTTCCAAGTCATTGTTTTAAAAATATATATGCTTCTTGATGGGTATAAAATAAGATTTCTAGGTAGTAAAACCTAAGAGCTTATCCAGGGAAATCAAGACCTCTCTTCTGAGTGTAGTATATAGTTCTAAAATTACAGGAGGAAAAAAAATAATAAAATTACAGGAGAGTCTCTCCCTTTGAAAAGGCTCTGGTCAGGCCACATGTAATACCAAAAAGAAGTAGGTTATTCCAACTTAACATTTGGCTAAATTTCCCTTTTAGGAAGGTGGCGATGTTTTCCAGTTCCGTTAGGGTCATCCTTGTTCCAAGTGATACCTAATTCCTACTGTCGGAAGAAATGCACTGCACCTAAGAAGATCATTCCCAATGCTGCTTTTTGTGATGAAAATACAAAAGATTCTGGAAATGAACTTGACAAGCTCTTCTCTTCAGAGCAGCAGGCTTCCATCTTGCATGTGTTGAATACAGCATCTAATAAAGAACTCGAAGCTTTCAGATTGCTTCGTGGAAGGAAATCCGTCAATATTATCGAGCACAGAGAGAAGTTTGGGCCGTTTCAGCATTTGGAGAGTTTAATGAATGTGCCCCTGTTCCAGTATAAAACTGCTATTCAAGTTTGTAACTCCATTCTTTGTCCAGAGACTGAAGGGAAAAAAAGAAAGTTCCAGGACAACCGGCTCTTGAGAAAGCTCATCAAACCAGAAATAGAAAGAGAGAGGCTTAAGGTATATCATTTTTCTTTTCTTTTTTTTTTTTAAAGGGATTTGTTCATTCATTCATTCATTCATTCATTCACGAGAGACAGGGAGAGAGAGGCAGAGACATAAGCAGAGGGAGAAACAGGCTTCTGACGGGGAACCCAATATAGGACTGGATCCTGGAACCCCAGGATTATGCCCTGAGCTGAAGGCAGATGCTCAACCACTGAGCCACCCAGGCGTTCTGGTATATCGTTTTCTTAAGGTCTGTTACACTACGGCATAAGCTTATAGTTTAGTTTGGTATGTGATCAGTACAGAAGAATGAGATGTAGAGAGGGTAAGTGGGCAGTGAGGAGGACCGAAAACCATGGGCTGTGCCTGGTGGGCAAAGTTGACAGATAGATAGAACAAAACCTGAATCTCAGAGAGAATGAGGCTTGTTGGAGGAGGCCGGCATTCTAGGAAGAAAGAATATGTGTAGAGAGATAGGTTTGTGCAAGGTTTATTTAAGAGGAATTGAGGAACTGATTGCATCTGAGGGTTATATCGAGAGTAATGAGAAATTAAGATGCAAAGAGGGTTATGGCCAGGGAATGACTTCAGAACATTATACTGGTCTTTTCAGCTTGACTTATTTTCTGTCCCTCCCTCTTCCTCTTAAAAAGCATTCTATAAGCAGATCCTTTTCAGTGTTTCTTAAAAAAACAAATCTTAGAATCATGTGGCATGTCAAACATTAAATCTCAGAGGAGAAGCGTAGGTCCTGTGTAGCAATACGTGATAAAATATTCTCTCATCCCATACTGAGAGTAAGCACATTTTTTCTGGACCAGTCTTAGTTTATGGATACTTTCTGAAAACCTGATAAAAGCTAGGGACCCTCTTTTCAGAAAACAAAAAACACATTTACGTAGAATATTGCATATACTTTCAGAGGACTTGTAGGTTTCATGAAGTCCATTCATGGGCCAGTGATAGAACTCCTGCAGTTGATCTAGAACATATTTGAACCAAATTTTTCAGGATTTGGATTTCCCTTCAGAGTTTTGACTACAAATACTATTTATACTCATTATAATGGAATTGCAGTCTTACTTGGATAGGTTCTAAAGTCATTTTGTATGTAATACAATTGTACTGACTTCCAAATAAAGTTTTTTTTTCTCAAGAAAGTCATTTTGTATGGAGAAAGTCATGCAGTAGTCTTTTTTTTTTTTTTTTAAGATGTTAATTTATTTATTCATGAGAGACACACAGAGAGAGGCAGAGACATAGGCAGAGGGAGAAGCAGGCTCCATGTAGGGAGCCCGATGAGGGATCCGATCCCGGGATTCCAGGATCATGCCCTAGCCCTAAAGCAGGCGCTTAACTGCTGAGCCCAGGCGTCCCTCATGCAGTAGTCCTTGAAAAAAAAATCCGTTGCCCGTGATGCACTGTGTGCAACCTGGTTCAGTAATACTTTTTTTTTTTTTTTTTTAGATTTTATTTATTTATTCATGAGAGACACAGAGGATCACACCCTGGGCTGAAGGCGGCACTACACCGCTGAGCCACCGGGGCTGCCCAATGCTCAATTAGTTTATATGATAGAAATATACTGGGGCACCTGGATGGATCAGTTGGTTCAGCATCTGACTCCTAGTTTCATACTCAGGTCATGAGATCGAGCCCCTCATCAGGCTCCACATTCAGCAAGGAATATGCTGAAGACTTTTTCTCCCTCTGACCCCCCACTCTCTTCCTAAAATAAATAAATTTTTAAAACAAAGAAAAATACTTCCAGTTTATGAACTGAATTGTTAAAGAAATGCAAGAATAACTATTATTAAAAGATAGCCAGTAGCTGTCGGTTTATAGACAACCTTTACCTAACCCAAAGTAGGCATTCAAATATTCAAATGTTCCTGGCGACTGTGCTAGATGCCAGGAAACAAGGAACATACACATACATTATAAGAAATGCCACTACACAACAATTAGGCTGTAGAGAGGAGACATGGTCCGAGAAGACTTCCTGAAGACTAGGAGGATGAGTAAATAGTAAACAGAAGTTATTTCACCACATGTCCACACAGATAGGCTATGTGACACCTCACACACTCAGACCCAGACCCTGGAAATGTGCAGACGGGAAGGCGGATTTTTGCAAAAGTACCTTGCTTTATCCTGAGAGCTCCAGGAAGTCACCAAAGCATGCAACATTCAGGCACAGCATTTACATCAGAACCATCACAGACTGCTGTGTGGAAGATGGGCCATAGAAGGCTAGACTAGAGGTAGGGATCTGTAAGGTGCCTGTTATATAACAAAGCATTAAGAACAGAAGACAGTGGCCATGACAAGAAAGACCAGAGATGATGAGGGTAAATTGATATTTGGGATGGGGGAGCTTAAACCTACTTTAATTGCAGCGAATAAATGGCACTGTTAAGATGATAGGAAGCAGATCAACTTGGGAAGGTAGGGGAAGAGGAGTTGGTTTTTAACGTACTGTATTCAGGTTGCCTGTAGGGCTTCTAAGGGGAAATGCGTAATAGATCATTGGACGCATGGATTTAACTCCGCCAAGTCTGGGCTGGAGTACAATGGCATCACTTCACCCGCACATAGTTCATTTAGTTATAGGGATAAATAAGTGTGTTCCACAGAAACAAAGGCAGAGAAGCGGGACCACTGTGTAATTCTATACCTATCTCCCTTTCACTGCTAAGGAATGAATATCCACTAAAGGCAGAATAGTCTGGATGCCCAGACATCTACAAAATATAGACCTCCTTTTGGTTCTTTAGCTCAACAATCCTCAAGCTTTAGTGTACATAAGAATTACTGAATCAGGGCACCTGGGTGGCTCAGTGGTTGAGGTTGAGCGTCTGCCTTCGGCTCAGGGCGTGATCCCAGATTCCCACATGGATCGAGCCCCACATCAGACTCCTTGCATGGAGCCTGCTTCTCCTCTCCTCTCTGCCTCTCTTTCTGTGTCTCTCATGAATAAATAAATAAAAAGTCTTTAAAAAAAAAAAAAGGTCTCACATCGGGCTCCCTGCATGGAGCCTGCTTCTCCCCCTGCCTGTGTCTCTGCCTCTCTCTCTGTCTGTCTCTCATGAATAAATAAAATCTTAAAAAAAAAAAAAAAACCTAATTGAGCATTATGAGTTTATAGTTTAAATTTTGTATCTCTTAAAATGTTTATACTTTTAATTAAACCAGCCTTTTTGTTTTAGGCAGTTACTAGTATCGTATCCATTGTTTTTGGAACTCGAAGAATTGCTTGGGCTCACCTGGATCGTAAATTGGCAGTGCTGGACTGGCAGCAGAATGACTGTTGCCAATTGATGAAAGGAACATACTTATCATCTGCCTATTTACAAAAGGTAAAGCAGCTGCCCCTCTAGATTCCTGCCTGCTAGATATCTCCTTGTGTGGTTTAACCTTCTAGTCCTAAAGGGAATGTAATGTAATACTACAGATAGATTTCCTTTGGGTTATTATTACCCATTCTTTTTTTTTTTTTTTTAATTACCCATTCCTATCATGTTTTCTGTCACCTATGATTTTCAAAATTTGAATCTTCATTTGGTTCATGAAATACCTTAATATATTAAAGGCAGATACTGAGAAAATTGGTGGTAAAGTACATTATTCTAAATATTACAGGACTTCATCACTCTTATTTATAAAGCTTATTTTAAATTTTTAAAAAGATTTTGTTTATTCATTTGAGAGAGAATGTGCGTGCAGGAGAAAGGGCAGAGGGAGAGGGAGAAGCAGACACCCCTGCTGAGTAGGGAGCCCAGCCCGATGTAGAGCTTGATCCCAGGACCCTGAGATCATGACCTGAGCCGAAGGCAAATGCTCAACTAACTGAGCCACCCAGGCACCCCTTATTTTTCATTAAAAAAAAAAAAAAATTTATTTACTTTAGAGAGAGAGCAAGGTTGGGGGTAGGGACATAGGGAGAGAATCCTAGAGCAAATGTGGGGCTCAATTCCAGGACCCTGAGATCATGACCTGAGCTGAAATCAAGAGTTAGACACTTAGCTGAGTGAGCCACGTAGCCGCCCCAAAGCTTATTTTTCAGAATGCCTCACTAATTGTCTTTTTGGAGTCTTCAGAACCTTGTGAGATGGGCAGTAATTACCATCCTGATTACATATATGAAAACTGGTATAATCAATCAGGGCATCTGACAGGATTGTAGGCTAGGTATTTTTTTTCTTAAGTAGGGTCCACACCCAGTGTGGAACCCAACATAGGGCTTGAACTCACAACCCTGAGGTTAAGACCCCAGCTGAGATCGAGTCAAACATTCAACCCACTGAGCTACCCAGGCACCTCTGATGGAGGCTAGTTATTCTAACCCTATGCTCTACATATTTTTAAAAGGTTAATAAACATTTTAAATTGTCTAATCTTAAAGTCAGTAGATTTTAGAAATTTTGAAGTCCATTTTACAGATGAAGAAACTAGTACTTGGGAGGACTAAGTGATTTGCCTTAGCTCAGTTTATTCCAGATAGAACCATGAGCAGAACATGGCTGTCCCGACTTCTCCATAAAATTATTTTTCAGTTTTCAAAAACAGTAATAGTATAATGTACATTATGTATTTTAAAAATAGAAACGGGAGAAGGAACCCAAACAACGAAACTTAATTATTTCTATTCACTCATTTTTTTCATTTTTTTTTTTTTTTTTTAAAGATTTCTTCAGTCGTTTCAAAGATACCTACAGCTGACTTCTACGTTCTGGAAAAAATAGGGCTTTCAATTCAGAACACATCTCGGTTTCCCCTACTGTTACATTTTCATATCATGGAAGCCATGCTGTATGCCTTATTAAACAAAACGTTTGCCCAGGATGGCCAGCATCGGGTGCTGAGCATGAATCGAAATGGAGTGGGGAAGCACTTTGAACTGATGATTGGGGACACACGGACTAGTGGAAAAGAGCTGGTGAAGCAGCTCCTCACAGAGTCTGTTCTGAAGGAAGACCCTCGGGTTGTCTTCCCTAAGGAGAAGATTGTACGCTACAGACAGATGTTTTCATCTACTGAGCAAAAGAGAGCAGAAGAGTTATATGATTCCCTATTACAAGCCGTTGCCTTCTATGAATTAGCAGTTTTTGACACCGAACCTTAAAATGCTGAGGTTAATAAAAAGAACTCTGATGTTATATTAATTTATATTTATTAGCTCTAAAGCCATAAAGCCAACTGTTTTTAACATCCATGTTTATGGAGAAGAAAACATTTGTATTTGGATGTTTAAAGTCAGACTTCCGGCTGTTGAATTGTTCACAGAATAAGCCAAGTCAATAAATACCTTAAGAGATTCTGAACCTTTTGGGTTTACGTGTTAAAAGTAAGAGGTCTCCTAAACAGACCAAACAAGAAAGTTATTCCCCCTGAAAACCTAATTCCATCCTATACTAAAGGATTTGCATCATTAAAAGAGTGAATAATGACTTTTCTGGGTGGAATTCATCATGGGAATAACACTAAATATAATCAGGAACACAATTTATGAAATTCTGTTAATTCTGTAAGTAGTATGTGGTTCGATGTACTGCTTCCAAAAGGTGATTTTCATCAATTCTATCAGGCCCAGAACAAACAAGCTTTGTCTAATAGGTTCATTTTTTTTTTTTCACTTCGAAATATTTTACTTGGATAGACCAACATTTTTTTTTTTTTTTTTTTTTTTTAAAGATTAGGGGAGAGAATCCCAACCAGACTCCATGTTAGGCATGGATCCTGACTTGGGGCTTGAACCTAGGACTCTGAAATCACAATCTGAGTCAAAACCAAGAGTCAGGGGCTTAACTGACTACACCATTCAGGCACTCCTAGATAAACCATCTTTTGAGAAGAGTAGCATTTTTTTTCCTAACACATTTCCCACTACATTTGACTTAGTTCAGGCCCTCATATCTTAGCAGTCTTAAACCCAAGTCTCTAATGTCAAAGCATCACATTTTTCCTTTAATCTGTAAAATGAAATATGCTTGTTAGAAGAACATTCAAATAATCATGTAAAATAAGTAGAAGTCCTCTCTTCTAGCATCTCCCAACTCGCTAGGGAATCTGGGATACAGTCTGGACTTGTCATTCACTTGTAAATCTCTACATTTACATATGGTTGTACACAAATATCACCTTGGATCTGCTGTTGGTATCCCAAGTTATATGTCTCAAATAATCCTTTTTTCCTTCAAATCCTCTCCTTTGCCAATATTCTGGTACTTTGATAAATAGCTTCACCAACCATCCAGTTGTTCATGCCAGATATGTGGCATTGTACCTCCCACATATTTCTGGAAATAGCTTTGTGAAAATTTGTTCATTTTAGACATTTACAGGATAAGATGCTAAGTACTGAAAAAGCTATCAATTTAGTTACTTTAACTCAAAAGTGGATCTAAGTCTTAAAGGAATTTACCACCTTTAAGTATTCATAATTTTCAAGGTGCCTGGGTAGTATAGTTGGTTAACTGTTGAATTCTTGGTTTTAGCTCAGGTTGTGATCTCAGGATGCTGAGATCAAGCCCCATGTTGGGCTCTACACTCTGCTCAGGGTAGAGCCTTTTTTTTTTTTTTTTTAAGTTTTTATACATTTATTTCACAGAGCACATGAGCACAAGCAGGGGGAGCAGCAGAGGGAGGAGGAGCAGGCTCCCTACTGACCAGGGAGCCTGATGTGGGGCTCGATTCCAGAACCCTGGGATCGTGACCTGAGCCAAAGACAAGACACCCAACCAACTGAGCCACCCATGCATCCCACAAGGGTGGAGTCTGTTTGAAATTCTTTCTCCCTCTCCCTGTTCCTCATACTTGTGCTCTCGCTCCCTCTAAAATAAATATATACATCTTAAAAAAAAGAATTCATAATTTCCCCCCAAACCAAAAAGAAAATCTTATGTGTCCCTATTAGAAATATTCCCATTATTTCTTGATTTTTACTTTTTTTCTCAGTTACTGAGAATTACCAGAATTTTCTAGTAAGACCAAATTAACAGGTAAGTCCTCTACAAATAGTGAATGCTAGTATGCAACAGAAAAAAATTCATATACTTAAAAACCCACAAAACTTCAGATCTCTTCTTTTGTACAAGAGCAAAACCTGTAACCTTTAATTAAATCAACATACTATCAATGAAAAAGTAGACTGAACAAATAAGAGGTAAAACATATCTTTCATACACATTTGTAAACAGGTATACACATCAGTATTTTCCATCTGTACAAAATTAGGATCCTTACCTTTGAGGTAAATATATAATTCACCAGATAATGTAACTGAATTCTAGGCTAATAAATATAAACACTTAAAATAGGAAACTATTTTCAGATATACCTAATTATGCAATAGCAAAAATGATTTGAAGTAAAATGTGGGATTTAAAGATCTTGTAATTAAAAAAAAACACACTTTCTCCAAAACCAACCTGAAGTGGAAATGGCTATGATGTAGAAAGTTCATATAGTAATATCCTTTGTTAAAATTTTAATGAATAAGCAGTTTGTCCAAAATAGATATATTAACACCATTAATATCTTTATGAAATAAAATACTGATATAAAAATACAAAAATTGTACAAGCAAATGATGTGAGTTGGCAAAATATACAAGATATCACATGTATGGTTGCTAAAAAAGGATTTATGAAAATGACAATTCATAATCTTGTTTTCACTTTGTCAATATTCAATGATTCAATGGTAAAATATGCTGGAGGAATACACTAAAAATAAGCTTATTGGGAAGATGGTACTTTTTGAAAAATGATGCATAATTTCTTCCCTAGGAAGTTCTTATGTATTACATAATTTTGTATTGTGTAAACTAGATTATCTCCTAGATGATTCATATATACAACTTGACAGAGTACTGACAGGCTGGAGAGAGGTGGGTTAAAATTAACAGGAAAGAAAAATTTTGGATTAACAGTGCAACACCTTTAGAAATATTTAGTGAATTCTACCTTCTAGAACAGCTCACTCACACAAAAATACAACAACACTAAAGCAATACAAAAAGTTTCAGAAAAAAAAATCACCACAATCATAAATACAATTTGTGACTCAAATTTTTTCACTTTAAATATTTGCACACTAATAATATACAAATAGTCCTTTTTTAAATGTACATTAAGAGAAATAAATTCTTCCATGAAGATCAATATAGAAATGTATCTTGAGGAACACATAATAATCTGTACAAGGCATTGGTAATGTAGATGTTAAGGGAAGCCAGCTGCCAGAGCGTTCACCGTCTCTTTCGAAATGTTAAGATGAATCCCTTCAAGATAGTGCAGGAACCTGTCAAAATTACAAGGAAAAATGCAATTTTTAAGAATCAGATGAGAATATTTATTAATCTTCAAATAGCTATATACAATGTTATTTATATAGAGCCTTTACCTTCTTTTATTTTTTCCTTGTTCTTTTAGCTTCTCAGTCCTACAAATGTTCCGAAGAGTTGGCAAGTACTCAGTTATACTAGCTTGTCTGTTACCCAGGTTTAGAAGAGATCTGCTAGAAAATACACTTTTAATGACTGCTATCCTCTTCCAGGCACTGCTGTAAATTAAAAGTAATGCATTACTTTTTATTTTTAATGCCCAAGAAAAATGCAGCAATCCCAAATACAACCAGTTTCTAGTCTTTCTTAAGACTAGATTAACCAGGGATCCCTGGGTGGCGCAGCGGTTTGGCGCCTGCCTTTGGCCCAGGGCGCGATCCTGGAGACCCGGGATCGAGTCCCACATCGGGCTCCTGGTGCATGGAGCCTGCTTCTCCCTCTGCCTGTGTCTCTGCCTCTCTGTGTGTGTGTGTGTGTGTGTGACTATCATAAATAAATAAAAATTAAAAAAAAAAAAGACTAGATTAACCAGATTCCAGGTTAACTTCCCGTATTTTTTTTTTCCTATATCATTTTCAACACAGTCACTCCCATACCAAAAGAATCTTTAATGGCTACCCACCATCTGCCCCAAGCATATCCAAACCCCATTCCCTGTTATTCAAGAGTCTTCTAATATCTCGTTTTTCTTCCTAACCATCAGGCTGGTCTCCCTGTCTTATTAGAAGCTACATTATTAAGTGTTTGTTTCTTTTAGATTTATTTATTCACAAGACACAGAGGGAGGCAGAGACACAGGCAGAGGATGAAGCAGGCTCCACAGGAGCCCAATGTGGGACTTGACCCGGAATCCTGGGATCACGCCCTGAGCCAAAGGCATACACTCAACTGCTGAGCCACCCAGGCGCCCCAATATTAAGTGTTTAACCTGGGATCAATAAAGCCCAGCATTTCAAAATTAGTAAAAAGAAATGAATAATTTCCTCTTTATCATCTGTTATTGAAAAAACAAAAGTTAAAGGATGACTTACTCTAAATTAGCTGCTGACTGACTAAAGTATACATTGTTGCGCTTTTGTGAAATGGAGAGAGTAAGCTCTTTAGTTGGATCTCTTCCTGATTTCTTGCAAGAATTCAAGGAGGTTTCCAGTGCTTTTGAAATAGTAGATGAACATTTAGTAAAGCTGAGTGCTTCTATAGCTGCCTTTAATTCTCCAGAGCTCTGAGAAGTCCATCCATCATTAGTCTCGAGACTAAACTCATCACAAAGTCCGCTTTTAACATTTGTCCAACTAAAGTCATTTTTACCAAATTCCTTTTGTTCTCTTACATCAACTAAAAGAGCATCTAAGAAGGACATGTTATCCATGAACTCAGTGAGAGAATTTAAACAGTGAGAAACAAGAGCAGAACATTTTTTTTCTGCTGGTGTTTTAGGACAAGGAATAGATTCCATGTTAGACTCTAAACAGTTGTTCAGTTTCTTTGCATCTGGATTGCTTTCTTTGTCTCTGGCTTTGCTGTCTTCTGAATTTGAGGAAGATGCAGGAGAACGGCTAAGAAATTCATTAGAGAAATCCAATTCGGTGTCAAACAAGTCGCTATCATCTAAAATTACCATCTTTTTCTTTTGTTTCTTTTTTTGTGGCTTTTTCAATGGCTTCTCTCCTTCAGAATGTTTCCTAGCAAGACATTTCATATGTTTTGTTGCTGTACTGCTGTCCACACTTACTGATGAACCATAGAAGTTTTCTGTTTCTGGAATGATATTAACAGGTAGTGGTAGAATGAACTCAAGATTACTATGTAAGAAATCTACATTTTGCATTCGGAATTCTGTAAGAAGCTGGATGAACTGATGACATTCTTCCTTTGTTCTGATTTTGTGCTGAAAAACAATTTTGAGTGAAGAAGTGTTAGAACATAGTCTAAACATTTTCCTACCTATATGAATATAGTGGCATCCTTATTCTATCTTAAAAGTAATGAGTTGCTACCCTCTCATAATTTTATTGACGTATGCTCCCTTAATTCATCAAAATAGTTCTGAGTCTAAAAACTAAATTTAGACTATTAAAATTTGAAGAATTAAATTTTCTTTTTTTTTAAAATATTTATTTATTTATTCATGAGAGACACAGAGACAGAGAGCGAGGGAGAGACACAGGCAGAGTGAGAAGCAGGCTCCATGCAGGAAGCCCGATGTGGGACTCGATCCTGGGACTCCAGAATCACACCCTGGGCTGAAGTTGGTGCTAAACCACTGAGCCACCTGGGCTGCCTCACAATTAAATTTTCTAATAGTTTATACCCCAATTCAACAGAAGCTCATTTATTTAAGAACTACCTTTCTTAAACTGTCTTTTTAATCTGAAATCTTTCTAAATTCTAGTCTAAATCCTATAATATTGGGATGCCTGGGTGGCTCAGCAGTTGAGCGTCTGCCTTTGCCTCTGGAATTCTTGGATTGAGTCCCACACTGGGCTCCTGCATTGGAAGCCTGCTTCTCCTCCCTCTGCCTGTGTCTCTCATGAATAAATAAATAAAATCTTAGAAAAAAAAATCCTATAATATGTATTTAGAGATCTGTCTATGCACCACTTATCAAAGTGGTATAGTATGTTAAAATCAGAAATCTAAAGCCTATAAAAATTATATGTAAATTTAAATTAACCTTAAGATTCAAAAGATGGGAATGAATGTTATGAAGATGAAAAGGAATATAAATTTGATATCCCACATTAGATATTGAAAATACCTTTAGAAATGAAAATAAATCTTCAGATGAGGAAAAAATGTTCTTAAGGCCAAACAAGGTCTCAACACAGCCGGTGTCACATTTGGGAAGGTCTGTAGGACTCCTCTTAGTACTTTTAGGTTTATTTTTGGAATCAGGGCCATCCTCAGAGCAAACAAGTTGAGTGTTTCTGCTATTTCCTACAAAATTAATAAAAGAAAATCTTAAGCTATCTATATTTTTATAAATTGTAGCAAACAATTATTTAAAATCTAAGATCTTTTGGCACCTTTTGGACTTACAGTCCCATTTTGTTCTTCACATATGTATTTAATTCATAAAGAGTATAATACAAACATTTCTAGCATACGGAGGTTAATAGGGGTGGTGGTGGTGGCCTTAAAAACAATCCAAAAGAAAAAAGTGCAAGGACTATGAACAGACAAGTCACAGGAAAAATACAAATAATTAATGAACTCATAAAAAGATGTGCAATTTCACTACTGATCAAGGAAATGCAAACTAAAATAAGATATTTGCTTCTCACCTTTTAAACTGGCAAAAGTAAAGCAACTGGTAACCTAGTTCTCTCAGAAGTATACATTAAAAAGCCATCATAAACTATTCATGGGAACATAAATCAGGACAATTATATTTGGGAGGGCAACCTGACAATACCTATTGGAATGTAAAATGTATTCTAGCCTTTGGGCCAGCCACTATACTTCTAGACTTCTCTCCAATGGAAGTACTGACGGATAAGCTCAAGGATGTGTATAGATATTCACTGCATATTTTAATAACAAACTGAAGATAACTTCAATTTCCTTTAATAAATAATGGTTAATTAAATTATGTTATATCCATTCACTACTATGGAATAGGATGCAGCTGTGAAAGAGAGGGCTAGAATTGTACGTACTAACTAATTATCAAGTAAAAAACAGCAAATTGTTTAACCGTATATATAGTATTGGTTAACTTTGCTAAAAAAGTAGGCAGCAATATTTTTACATGCATAGATAAAGCTTTCATGGTGACTAACTTTAAGAAGTAGGGAAGATCTTTTACTTTTTACTTTATATATTTCTGCACTGTTTGAATTTCCAATGAGTATGTATCTGTGTTTAAGAAAGACAAATAAAATGCATATAAAGTCTTCAAGAAAAAAAATAATGCTATACTAAGATTTCATCTTTTAAAATTCCTGACATAACATTTTATATCCAATAGCATGGCAATAATTACTAGTTTGTTTTTTTATAAGAGCATATTTTCCTTGTCTTATTTATCATATTTACTTCTAAGAAATAGTTAAAGATACAGGCTCACACTGAATTAAATATATACAATTGCTATTATGAAAAAGAATAATACATTAAAAAAAATTTTAACACATTAAAATTTTGAACTGATCAAAGAAAAAAAAACTTGACAGGGGATTAATATTACAGAACTTCACCTTGGTTTTATTTAAATATTTGTGTACTTCCCAGAGCAGGATCTGTAACTATAGAACAGACTATGGAGCATGAAAACCACAAACTATGAACTTCTTCAGGGAAGGAACCATGTCTTATTCATGTAAACACAGGACCTGGCATGGAGAAAGTCCTCAATAAATGTCTGTGACTTCAATTAGGTAACAATGACTGAAGATTGATAAGAAATAAAACATTTCTTAAATTATAAAGTTCTTATGAAAAATAGAATTATAGACTAGTGAAGAAACTAAAAACTCACAGTCATATAAAAATAATTTATATATATGGAAAATTCACCAATATGTTTTCTAAGGAGTAAAAAAAGGAAGCTAATTGCTAAATAATATCATCCTACTTGCTTATAAAAAACTATGATTATGGGGCGCCTGAGTGGCTCAGTTGGTTAAGTGTCTGACTATTGATTTAGTTCAGTTCATGATCTCAGGGTCTTGAGATTGAGCCCTGGGTTGGATTCCACACTCAGCACAGAGTCGGCTTGAGACTCTCCCTTTACCTACCCCGTGTTCTCTCTCTCTTTCTAAAATCAATCATTCAATCAAATCAATCAATCAATCTTTGGAAAAAAGGGAAAGAAACTATGCTTATAAATGTATAAAAATTTGTTCCATGTAGTTTAACTCTATTTAACCCACTTTTAATGTTTATAAAATTTTTATAAACAAAGTTGACATACATGTTTATTTTCAAGATTAACGTGATACATGGATGCTCAAAATTTTAAAAATCTTTCAGATAATTTGGTATAGCATGTACTTTAACATAGGGCCTCACTGTAGAAATTTTTCTTAGATCAACTTACGACAAAGGGATAATGGCCTTTCTTCTAAAAATCCACCTCCACTTCTAATCCAGAATTGTAAGTAAAGGATACTTTTTCTGATATCACAAGTATTTGCAGTTAACAATGTTACAAAGTCTTTCACATCAGTTCTAAAGTTCTCAGCCAAGCAGATCATTTGTAGGTAGCTGGCCACATTACGCTGAGAAAAAGAAACAGAAAGAAAAAGAAAATTGGTGAATTGCAGAGTCAAACAGGAATACATCAGTAATACACATCTAAAAGTAGACAAATTTAACTAAAATTCACATTATTTTAGCTCTTGAGAATGAAACTAATCTAGAAAAATATAAAGGAATATACGTACAAATTAAAAATGTTTTATGTATACTTATTTTAGTAACTGTATTTGGTCTAAAACAGGAAGGAAATTTTATAGATTTTCCATAAATGCTGGAGGCAATTTTATTAAAGTTTGAGAAATTGCTTTAAGATTAAGTAATGATACAACTTGATGGAATATTTTACAGCAATTAAAACTATAAATATGAATACTATAATAATACTGAAAAATACTTATATAATTTTTAAAAACCAGAATTAGAAAATTGTATCATGCATGCACAAATGCATAAATGTATGTAAATAAGAAACATTAGGAAAAAATGAAAAAACAACCAACCCCCCCCCCCCAAAAAACAAAACCCAAACCCCATGTGATTTTTTTCTTTAAGATTTTATTTATTTATTCTTGAGAGACACAGAGACAGAGAGGGAGAGACACAGGCAGAGAGAGAAGCAGGCTCCATACAGGGAGCCCGATGTGGGACTCGATCCTAGGACTCTGAGATCACGCCTTGAGCCGAAGGCAGATGCTCAACCACTGAGCCCAGGTGTCCCCCCATGTGATTTCCTAAGAATAAATGGACCAAGGGATGCCTGGGTGGCTTAGTTGGTTAAATGTCTGCCTTCAGCTTAGGTCATGATCTCAGAGTCCTGGGATTGAGCCCTGTATTGGAGGCTCTCAGTGGAGTCTGCTTCTCCCTCTCCCTCTGTCCTTCCCTACCACTTATGCTCTCTCTCTCAAATAAACAAACAAATAAATAAAATCTAAAAAAAAATATGGACCACATAAAAATTTTTTTATTTAGTGATCCATCAATATTGCTATAATATTATTTGTAAAACAACAAAATAGGGCAGCTCAGGTGCCTCAGCGGTTTTGCGCCGCCTTCGGCCCAGGGCCTGATCCTGGAGACCCGGGATCGAGTCCCACACGTCAGGCTCCCTGCATGGAGCTTGCTTCTCCCTCTGCCTGTGTCTCTGCCTCTCTCTCTATGTCTCTCATGAATAAATAAATAAAATCTTTAAAAATAATAATAATAAAACAACAAAATACATACTATTCTCTTCCCCCCATTTATGGAAAGCTTTTTACCTTGAGAAGCTAAAAACAAATAAAATTATATTTACATTCTGCAGACTTTACAAGACCACTAGCATTTTACCTTAAAATAAATAAGAGAATTAACAAAAAGATTTCCCCTATTAAATCTGAGACTTTATTCTATACACATACACTACTCTTGCACACTTCTGGAACTTCTGCTTCCCACAAACTAGGAATTCTGCTTTCAATAATGAAGTACCTACTCTCAGACAAACCTTGCCATCAGTAATAACAATAAACTCTATAATCAACTACAAATAAATAAATATTAAGGGCAGCCCCGATGGCGCAGCAGTTTAGCGCCACCTGCAGCCCAGGGTGTGATCCAGGAGACCTTGGATAGAGTCCCACGTGAAGCTCTCTGTATGATGCCTGCTTCTCCCTCTGCCTGTGTCTCTGCTTCTCTCTCTGTCTCTATGAATAAATATATAATTCTTAAAAAAAAAAACACAAATAGGGATCCCTGGGTGGCGCAGCGGTTTGGCGCCTGCCTTTGGCCCAGGGCGTGATCCTGGAGACCCGGGATCAAATCCCACGTCGGGCTCCCGGTGCATGGAGCCTGCTTCTCCCTCTGCCTATGTCTCTGTCTCTCTCTCTCTCTCTCTGTGTGACTATCATAAATAAAAAAAATAATAATAAAATAAAATTTAAAAACCCACAAATAAATATTAAAAAACACATTATTTGAAGGCACAAGAGAGTAACTAAATGCAGAAGATTACTGAAGGGAAATCAATACTTGGACAAAAAAAAAAAAAAAGGCCCTGGGTGAAATGCCTCCTTTAAATTGATTTCTGACTGAGGAAAGGATGCAGCAGTGGTGGCTGAAACTCAGACAGAAACTCACAGTGTTACTGGCTTGAATCAGAGGACAGAGTTTGGGATGATGGCAGTAGCTGGAAAGTGAGGGGAGGTCTGTGAAAGTAGTGAAACAGAAATTCTAAAGAAGAATGCAAATCCCTGGTTGATGCCTGAACTTCACATGTGTGGGCCTGTCTCAAAGCAGCCCAGCTAAAACTAAAAGACCTGAACAAAAAAAATAAAATAAATAAAAATAAAATAAAAATAAAAGACCTGAACAGAAACTTTAGCTGCTACCTACTACAGGAGAATATTTGTTTAGAGGAATATAACAGAATCCAGAGTATGTACAACATACCACTTGCAAAGTACAAGATAAAAATCTAAAACTACTACACAAAGAAACAGAGTAACTAATTCCTCAGAGGCAAGACAATCAGTAGACTTAATCACAAGACGATAAAGATGCTGGAATTAGAATTTTAAAACAGCTAGCAAAATTCTATGCTTAAAGAAAATCTGCTCATAATCAACAAACATAAGAAATCCCAGAAGAAAAATAGAAGCCATAAAAAGAAGCAAATTATAAAACTAAAAACCATAATATCAGAATAAAAATTTCACTGGATGGGCCTCACAGAAGAATGGAGATGACAGAAAAAAAAAAAAGGTGTCAGTAAATTTAAAGACAAATCAATATAAAAGGATCAAATCAAAAGTACAAACAAAAAAATTAGGAGGGGGAGGAGAACAGCATACTGTAGTGGCATGTGGACAATGTAAAATGTTTAACATACCTGTAATTAAATTCCCAAGAAGGAAAAGGAAAATGGGCATGAAATAAATTTGAAAAATAAGTTCAAGTATGTCCCTTAGGGGGCGCCTGAGTGATTCAGTTGGTTAAGCATCTGCCTTCCGCTCAGGTCATGATCCCAGGACCCTGAGATCAAGCTCTGCATGAGGCACCCTGCTCGGCTAGGAGCCTGTTTCTCCCTCTCCCTAGGAGCCTGTTTCTCCCTCTCCCTCTGCCCTCCCCCTGCTGTGCTCTGTCAAATAAATAAATAAAATATTATTTTATATATTTTTATATATTATATATATTATATATAAAATATTATAAAATATTGTTTTTCTGTCAAATAAATAAATAAAATATTAAAAGAAAAAAGTCCTTCATTGGAGGAATGACATATATTTATGGATTGTAGATATCCAAGAACCATAAGCAGGATAGATATGAAGAAAAATAACTCCTAGGCACATCATAGGCAAATTGTTGAAAATAACAAAAAGAATATCTCAAAGACTCCAAACTCTGGGAAACAAACAAGGGGTAATTGAAGGAGAAGTAGGCAGGGGGATGGGGTGACTGGGTGACAGGTACTGAGGGGAGCACCTGATGGGATGAGCACTGGGTGTTACACTATATATTGGCAAATCAAACTCCAATAAAAAAAATACATTAGGGATCCCTGGGTGGCGCAGCGGTTTGGCACCTGCCTTTGGCTCAGGGCGCGATCCTGGAGACCCAGGATCGAATCCCATATCGGGCTCCCGGTGCATGGAGCCTGCTTCTCCCTCTGCCTGTGTCTCTGCCTCTCTCTCTCTCTCTCTCTGTGACTATCATAAATAAATAAATTAAAAAAAATAATAAAAAATAAATAAAAAAATACATTAAAAAAAACATTAAAAAAAAGGAATATCTTGAAGGCATCCAGAAAAAAATGACATATTACATAGGAGGCAAAAAGGAAAAAGTGACTTATAATCCGAAATAGCAGTGACCAATAAAATTAATTAATTAATTAATTTAAAAAAGAAAGAAATAGCAGTGACCAAAAGACAATGCTATGATATCTTTAAGGTACTGATGCAGGGGGACCTGGCTGGCTCAGTTGGTAGAGTATGTGACTCTTAATTTCTGGGTGGTGAGTTCAAGGCCCGTATTGGGTGTGGAGCCTACTTAAAAAAAAAAAAAAAAAAAGTAATGATGGAAAAACTGAGAACCCAGATTTCTATACCAAGGGAAAATATTCTTTGAGAATGAAGTAAAAATAGACATTTTCAAGTAAATGAAACCTAATATAATCCACTGCCTGCAGACTAGCTCTATAAAAATTGTTAATGAAATTCTTTAGGCTGAAGAGAAAATCAAAGAAAAAGATCTTCAGGAAGGAATGAAGTATATTAGAAATTACAAGTATAAAAAAAAGAAATTACAAGTATATAGGAGAATATAAAAGTCAACGCTTTATTCTCCTCCTAATTTCTCTCAAATATACACAGCTGGCTAAAGCAAAAAAGCTGAGCATTATATTGGGAGTTTATAATAAGTAAATGTAAAACATTTGAAAACATATAAGATAGAGGGATGGTAAACGGACTTCTATCTTTGCAAGGTTGTTAGATTCTCCATAAATTAGTATAATACTAACACTAAATACACTGAAAAACTAGGGTGCCTGGGTGGCTTAGCCAGTTGGGTATCTGCCTTTGGCTCAGGTCACGATCTCAGGATCCTGGGATTGAGCCCTGCATTGGGCTCCCTGCTCAGTGAGGGGTCTGCTGCTCCTTCTCCCTCTGCCTCTCTGTCCTCACCACCACTCATGCTCAAATGAATAAATAAAATCTTAAAAATATATATACTAATATATATATGTATATATATGTGTGTATATATATATATATACACACACACACACACACACACACACATACTATGAAAACTAAGAATGCATACTATTTCTAAAGAAACTACTAGAGCAGCCCGGGTGGCTCAGTGGTTTAGCGCTGCCTTTAGCCCAGGGCTTGATCCTAGAGACCCAGGATCGAGTCCCACATCGGGCTCCCTGCATGGAGACTGCTTGTTCCTCTGCCTGTGTCTCTGCCCCCCGCCCCCCCTCCGTATGTCTCACATGAATAAGTAAATAAAATCTTAAAAAAAAAAAAAGTAGCTAAAAATATATGTCCTAATCAATTTCAAATGGCCTAGAAACCATCCACCATCATCCTTCATAAATGTAGACATGAAAGCCTATAATAATATATGAACAAATCCAGAACTTTATTTATTTATTTATTTATTTATTTATTTATTTATTTATTTATTTATTTATTTATTTATTTATTTTTAATTTATGATAGTCACACAGAGAGAGAGAGGCAGAGACATAGGCAGAGGGAGAAGCAGGCTCCATGCACCGGGAGCCCGACGTGGGATTCGATCCCGGGTCTCCAGGATCGCGCCCTGGGCCAAAGGCAGGCGCCAAACCGCTGTGCCACCCAGGGATCCCCAAATCCAGAACTTTAGAAAAGATGTAACACACATCATGATCATATACAAGACTGATCTGACATTCAAAAATAACCATCGTTCACCATATTAATAGAATTAAAAAGACAAACATATGATTGCCTCAAAAAATAGGAAGTATGTGACAAAATTTAACTACCATTCACAATAAAAACACAGGTAACTGATGAAGTGCATTTATGAAAATATATAGCTGATATCACACTTAATGGTAAAAGAATGTCTACTTTAGCCCCAAATTCAGAAACAAGGCAGAGATGTTCACTCTTAATTCCTACTCAACAGTATACTGAAGATACACTGCCACTATCATAATAAATCACCTTTTATAGAATTGTGACATATGATCAAAATTAAAACTTACAAGCGAAGGAGTACTGAAATTAATTTCTTCAAAGCAGCCATCAAACATTAAACTAAATGTTGGATCTATAGGAAAAGAAAACATTTTTAAAAACTATTAAGACTACTAAATTAATTTTTCCAGTTACTTTTTCTATGAATATATTCTCTATTTTATCGGTAATGAAAATATCATGTAAATTAAAAATCATTAAGGAACTGAGTTTTTCTTGACCTAAAGTAATTTTTGATCTTTTAATTAAATTCTCATGTAACCGGGACACCTGGGTGGCTCAGTGGTGTAGCACCTGCCTTTAGCCCAGGGCGTGATCCTGGAGTCCTAGGATCGAGTCCCACATCAGGCTCCCTGCATGAAGCCTGCTTCTGCCTGTGTCTCTGTCCCTCTCTCTGTGTCTCTCATGAATAAATAAATAAATAATCTTAAAAAAAAAAATCTCATGTAACCTTTGAGTAATATGATTTTTATCACTATTTTTAGAGTACAATCACTAACGGTCAAATGAGCCATTAATTTGTAAGTGGAATCTAAACACATTTTCCTATAGAAATCCATAGCAGAGATATGCTGCTGAATATGTGCAATGAAAAATAATTAGAAGACAATCTTATAATTCAGTGTTTATAATGAAAAAAACAGGGATCCCTGGGTGGCGCAGTGGTTTAGCGCCTGCCTTTGGCCCAGGGCGCGATCCTGGAGACCCGGGATCGAATCCCACGTCGGGCTCCCGGTGCGTGGAGCCTGCTTCTCTCTCTGCCTGTGTCTCTGCCTCTCTCTCTCTCTCTCTCTTTGTGACTATCATAAATAAAATAAAAATTAAAAAAAAAAAAAAAGACAGGTGAGTCTCTTCTCAGACCTGCTTCTTAAAAAAAAAAAAAGAAAAGAAAAAGAAAAAAAAGAAAAAAAAAAAGAAAAAACCAAAACAACTGTGTTTTAAAATTGAACACTGAATGCAAATTATTAGGAAGTTGGACCAATTCCAGGGGCACCTAGCTGGCTCAATCAGTGGAGCATGTGACTCTCAATCTCAGGGCTGTGGGTTTAAGTCCTATATTGGGTGGTATAGAGATTATTTAAAAATAAAATCTTTTTTTAAAAAAGGGAGGTGTGGGACACCTGGGTGGCTCAGTGGTAGAGCATCTGCCTTTGGCTCAGGACATGATCCCGGTCCAGGGATCGAGTTTCACATTGGGCTCCCTGCACAGGGCCTGCTTCTCCCTCTGTCTGTGTCTCTGCCTCTCTCTCTCATGAATAAATAAATAAATAAAATCTTTAAAAACAAACAAACAAACAAATAAAAAAGGAAGGTGAACTAATTCCATTAGGCTGGTGGCTTACTTTAACTAAAATATGCAATAATCACATGGAAGTGTTCTCAGGGGATAAGGAATTATTAAATTCGATATTAAGATACTACTACAGAAAAGTTGGACTTCATAAACAATTCTGACCAGTAAGTGACATTTAGTGATCTAATTATAAGTATCAGGAAGAGGCAAAAAGAAGGATCTATTATCGCCCCTATCAAAATCCATTTACCGGCTAGTCCATAAATCTCTTTACCTGCATTCTAGGCTGTTGCAATATCTAATACTCAACACAATGATTCAAAGTAGTATCCAGTTTCCAAACCACTGCAATTTGCAGGGTAATATATGAATTTTATAATTACTCAAGGCTGTGAATTGATAGCAAATTTGAATAATTCTTAATTTAAAAAATGATCCAGGAGCCTCCAGATTTTAGAAAAAAATGACTTAATTTACTATAAAGGAACATTTCTAAAATGAGACGCTTTCTCAAAATATTTTAACCAAAAGTAATTAGTTGTAAAATCATTGTTACCTACCACTAGTAGTAAGGATTACAGGTCTTTTAGTTGTTGCCATGAATGTTTTGATTGCATTCAGAAACCCAGCATCTTCTTCAAAAATGACATCAACCTAAGAGCCATTTGTGAGAATAATATTGTATTGAGTAACAAAACATTTACTGGATAGGTTACGTATACATACTAGATATACTATATGTCTGTTAGAAATAAAATTTATTGGGATCCCTGGGTGGCGCAGCGGTTTGGCGCCTGCCTTTGGCTCAGGGCGCGATCCTGGAAACCCGGGATCGAATCCCATGTCGGGCTCCCGGTGCATGGAGCCTGCTTATCCCTCTGCCTATGTCTCTGCCTCTGTCTCTCTCTCTCTGTGACTATCATAAATAAATAAATTTAAAAAAATTAAAAAAAAAAAAAAAAAAGAAATAAAATTTATGAATTTATGAACAGTATGAATTCAGTCCACACTGAAAGCCTAAAATGTTTTACACTATTAAAAGTAAAAAGCTGGGATCCCTGGGTGGCGCAGCGGTTTAGCGCCTGCCTTTGGCCCAGGGCGCGATTCTGGAGACCTGGGATCGAATCCCACGTCGGGCTCCCAGTGCATGGAGCCTGCTTCTCCCTCTGCCTATGTCTCTGCCTCTCTCTCTCTCTGCCTCTCTCTCTCTCTCTCTCTCTCTCTATCATAAATAAATAAAAAATTTAAAAAAAAATAAAAGTAAAAAGTTATCAAATATTAAACCAAAACAATCTAGTTACCTGTAACTGGACAAGTATGAGTCAGAATAATTTCTATAATCACTGAACAATAATGAATAATCCTGAACTGCATTAATCATCTTTCTGAAAAATTCTTCTACAGTTGACAGTTTCATTCACTTTAAATTCAAAGAGATACAGTGAGGTGCCCGGGTGGCTCAGTTAGTTAAGTATCCGACTCTTGATTTAGCTCGTCATGATCTCAAGGTCCCGAGATCGAGCCCACGTCAGGCACCACACTCAGCATGAAGTCTGCTTAAGATTTTCTCTCTCCCTCTGCCCCTCTCCCGACTCATGCACACATGCGTACTCTCTTTAAATATACAAATCTTAAAAAAAAAAAAAAATTCAAAACAGATACAAGTATTCCTGACTTTCTTGGTGATTTTATAATACTTTATAGAAACACATACAGTAACCTTCTAGAATAACTTAAAAAAATTTTTTTTACATTTTTTAAATTTAAATTCAATTTCCCAACCTATAACACCAGTGGTCATCCCATCAATTGCCCTCCTCATTGCCCATCACCCAATTACCCTAACCCCCCCCACACCTCCCCTTTCACAGCCCTTTGTTTCTCAAAGTTAGGACTATCTCACGATTTGTCTCCCTCTCTAATTTTTCCCACTCAGTTCCCTTCCTTTCCCTTATAATCCCTTTCACTATTTCTTATATTCCACGTATAAGTGAAACCATATGATGATTGTCCTTCTCCGAATGACTTCTTTCACTCCGCATAATACCCTCTGGTTCCGTTGATATTGAAGCAAATGGTGGGTATTCATCTCTTCTACAGTTAAGTTCTTACTATGAGATATCATGAACATATGCCCATAAGCCTACCTCCTCAAAAAGAATGAGAGATGTTGCATTTTTCCTGCTGGGTTCCTCAGCTCCAAATTCTTTGACATTTGACTTAATTGTGTTTGTAGATTTAGTCTGAATAACTGGTTTTTGTTCACAAGAAGTTTTTATTCCTGCATAAATAAAATATTAGTATTTTAGATAGAATCAAGTTTTAATAGAACACTGGATGTTTCTGCAGAATAAACTCAAACAGAAACCCCCCTATCAAAAGTGAAACAAGGGGTGAAGAAAAAATGAGCAAAAAATCAAAACTCCTATATGTAGGACCGTCAATCTAGCTGAGGTTTAATAAATAGCAATAGGAACTCAGGAAATATGATATTTTTATGTATCAGGGTCATTAGCATTAAAAAATGTCACATATATTATGTCCATTTAATGTCTTACCTTTATTATTTTCCAGAAGTACTATTTCTTCATTATTTTTTGGCTTGGAAGACACTTTAAAATAATTTGCCAAAGTTTTAGGTGGAAGTGTTCGCTTAGGTACACTAGTTTGTGATGACGGTGGAGGAAGTTTCCTTGGTGATGTAACAACTTTCTTAGGGGAGTTTAATTTTTCTGCCAAAAACAAATTTAACTAATGATAAGTATTCTAAAAGTTAACCGGGTGGTAAGATTAAATTATCCACAGTCTATATTTCTACTCTTACCACTTAAAAATTGATATATTTTCTTTCATTCTTACATTCAAATACTGTGTACCAATAGTACTATATTATTACAGTTATTCTATCATCAGAGACGGTAAAACCAGTCATTTGGAAAAGACACTCTTTTCTAAAGAAATGTATATCCTTGAGGCAAAGAATGTTCATAATCCCTCCATTCACTTTCTCTACATCTGCTGGAGTTCAGAAGAGGCTAGAGGAAAAGTGATAATGGTACATTCTAAGCACATTACAGAACATTGTTATCCAACTTCACTTTAGCCCTGTAGTATATGGATATTGCAAAGAAAACAATATGTTTTTCTAGTGATACTGTGGAGGATAGATACAAAGTTTAAAAATAAATGGCTGATCTCGACCCTCCAGAAGTCCTATGGTGCCAAGCATTTATTCTGGAGCATGTCCTTTTCTCCCCTCTAAGTGCTCTGATTGAGTCCTCACACATTCAAATTATTTTTTAATATACCCCACTTCCACAGATCTTTTCATATCCTTTGCATATTATAGGTGCTTGAAAACTTACTGAAAGTTTTGAGTTTACTACGTGCAATGACATGGATAGAGCTAGAGTATATTATGCTTAAGTGAAAAAAACAAAGACAAATTCCATATGATCTCACTCATATGTGGAATTTAAGAAAACAGATGAACTATATGGGAAGGGGAAAAAGAAAAAAAGGAGAGGGAAACAAGCCATAAGAGACTCTTAAGGATAAAGAACAAACTGAGAGTTGATGGAGTGATGTGCGTAGGGAATGACTAGATGCCTAATGGGGATTAAGGAAGGTATTTTTGTGATAAGTGTTGGGTGCTACATGTTATAAATCACTGAATTTTATTCCAAAAACCAATATTGACTGTATATTAACTACCTACAATTTAAATTTAAAAAAAGAAAAAAAAGAAAATTTTGAGTTTGAAAAATTATCCTAGATGTCACTATCACGTTATAAAAATAGGGCATTTCAACACAAGGTAACAGGCATATAATCTTAAAATAAAAAATATTCCTTTATATGGAATAGATTTCAATTTACTAAAAAATTACCATTTTTTCCTTATTTTTCTAATTTTGACATAGTACAAGGATTGCTTGATCATGGACTGGCATCAGTCCAAACTGGTATTAGAAAATACATGCCAATTTTTACTTACAGATACTTAGTAAGTGCTTGGTTAAATTTTATTGATATATTCTTTTTCAAGGATTTTCCACAAAAGCAATCAGCTCCATGGAGAGAGTACTATTTCTAGGTCTAAGACATCTTAATAAGCGAGAAAAAAATAAATATCAAGATTACTGGGGAAACATCAAAAGGATACAAGCCAATTAAGTGGCATTACCACTAAAGAGCAGATTATATGAGCACAAAAAGAAAAAAGGTTTCTGCTGCCTTTTTTTTTTTTTTAAGATTTTATTTATTTATTCATGAGAGACACAGAGAGGCAGAGACATAGGCAGAGGGAGAAGCAGACTCCCTGAGGGTTCTGGAACCCAATGCGGGACTTGATCCCAGGACCCCGGGATCACAACCTGAGCCAAAGGCACGCTCAACCACTGAGCCACTCAGGTGCTCCTAAAAGGTTGTTTCTGACAAAGACATACATTGGATTTACCCATGTATCTGAATTAACACAAAAAAACCCCAAACGTAATAGATGAAACAATGCTTTTCAAGACTTTGGACATCATGCAAAAAAGGACAGTCATATACCTGAGAGACAGGAAACAAAGTGAACCCCAGGAATTGCCTAGCTTCCTGCCTTGTGAGACAGTATCTAGGCCACATTGTAAAGAAGGGGAAGCCAGTCCAGAGGTTTCCTGAACTGAGGAGACTCAACAGGAGTCTGGAGATGTCAAGGTAGAAAGTCATGGGGCAAAAGAGTGAAGAGAAGAGAGTTACACAGAGTGTTTCAGAAATTTGCAGAGGGTCCCCCTCAAGTCTTCCAAATTTGATGAAAATATAAACTCATTCATACAAGAAGCTCAGTAAAACCCAACTACATGAAGAAAATACCCATGCACATCAAATCATAGTCTCTTGTAACTAGTGACAAAGAGAAAATCTTAAAAGCAACCAGAATAATGAATACAAAGGACTAAAACACATTAAATATATACAAATCCATGAGTTCATCATAATACTAAAATAAACAAACAAACAAACAAACTACCCCAAACGTCATTGGACACTTCAGAGATTATTAGGATACCAATACGCTAAGAATTGATAAATAAAAGGGAAGAATGAAGCATTTCTTGTGCCTTTCCTGTACAAACTGTGTATCAGTGTCTAAACGGATGAGAGAAGTGCTTCTTAGATGTATAACTAATAAATTCAGAAAGGCTAAGTGAATTATAAAATCACTCATTTTAAAAATCCTTAATTAAAAATTAAGGACTAATTATTTTAATTAATAATCAAGTTAGATAATCAATAATCAAGTTTAATTAAATAATCAAGTTAATCAGTTAATTAAATAATCAAGCAAGATAAATATTATTGATGACTACAAAATACTTTTAGTTAACGGAGTGATGGGGGAACTTTATAGTGGGTGGATCAGCCTGAAAACTGAACTCACCAATCCATGTTAATACCACAATTGTATCTTTGGCTCTGATGTCATAGGAAGTATACAGCATTGCCTATGCATGTATGCCGGCCCTGAAACAGAACCTGAATCTAACCAAACCCACAGATCTAACTGCCAGCTTACAAGAAAAAAGGGAAGAGGAATATATTAACTGATACCATGAAGATACAATCAGCCAAATTGAAAACATGAGTAATTTTATGAAAAATGACTTATGTTCTTCAACAAGTAAATGATATGAAAAGGATGAGGTAAATATTATTATTTTTAAAGATTTTATTTATTTTTTTTTAATTTTTATTTATGATAGTCACAGAGAGAGAGAGAGAGAGAGAGAGAGAGAGAGAGAGACATAGGCAGAGGGAGAAGCAGGCTCCATGCTGCTTCTGGATTCGATCCCGGGTCTCCAGGATCACGCTCTGGGCCAAAGGCAGGTGCCAAACCGCTGCGCCACCCAGGGATCCCAGATTTTATTTATTTACTTAAGAGGGAGAGAGCACAAGGAGGGGGAGCAGCAGAGGGAGAGGAAGAAGCAGGCTCCCTGCTGACCAGGGAGCCTGATGTGCACTCGATCCCAGGACCCCAGAATCATGACCTGAACCAAAGGCAGAACTCAACCAAACCACTCAGGCGCACCAGGATGAGGTAATTATTAGGGAGACTGAAAGAAATTTAAAAGACATCAATCAAATGTAAGATGTAGGGACACCTGTGTGGCTCAGCAGTTGAGCGTCTGCCTTTCACTCAGGGCATGATCCCAGGTCTGGAGATCAAGCCCTCCATTAGGCTCCCTGTGATGAGCCTGCTTCTCCCTCTTGCCTGTGTCTCTCCTCTCTTTCTGGTCTTTCATGAATAAATAAAATCTTAAAAAAAAAAAAGATGTAAAGCATGTTTGCACAAATCATTTGAAACAGAAAGCTAAAATAAGAGTATGTATTAGACCAAATTAAGGTATAAAGTTAATTTCAAGGTCTAATTATGATACTGTGGTTATACTACTTTTTAGAAAGTCCTTATTGGGCAGCCCTGGTTGCCCGGCAATTTAGCGCCCCGTCAGCCAGGGGTATGATCCTGGAGATCTGGGATCAAGTCCCACGTGGGGCTCCCTGCATGGAGCCTGCTTTTCCCTCCACCTGTGTCTCTGTCTCTCTGTCTCTCATGAATAAATAAATAAAATCTTAAAATAATAATAATAAATAAATAAAGTCCTCATTAAGGGCCGCCTGGGTAGCTGTGGTTGAGCATCTGTCTTTGGCTCAGGATGTGACCCTGGAGTTTTGGGATCAAGTTCTGCTCTAGGCTCCTGCATGGAGCCTGCTTCTCCCCCTTTGCCTATGTGTCTGCCTCTCTCTGTGTCTCTCATGAATAAATAAATAAAATATTTAAAAATTTTTTTTCTTTTAAAGTCCTTATCAAAGGATCCTTGGGTGGCTCAGTGATTTAGTGCCTGCTTTAGGCCCAGGGTGTGATCCTGGAGTCTCGGGATTGAATCCCACGTCAGGCTCCCTGCATGGAGCCTGCTTCTCCTTCTCCCTGTGTCTCTGCCTCTCTCTGTGTGTGTTTCTCATGAATAAATAAAATCTTAAAAAAAAAAAAATTGTCCAGGAAAAAATAATAATTTTAAAGGTATGTGCGTGTGTGTGTGTAGGAAAATATAAAAAACGAATGGCAAAATGCTGATTACTAAAATTCTTTTTGCAGATTTTATTTTTTCAAAGGTTATGACCTAAGGAAAATAATTTACTTACTTGGTGACTTGCCTAGGTTGTAACTATTAAAAAAACAAGGTTTTTGAGAGTTTACACCTTGCTTGTCCACTTGATGGGACTGAGTAGCTTCCTTCAGTTGAGATAGAATTTGTCTACCACTGCGCTGAGAAGATGCATTGACTTCAAATATCTAAAAGAAGAATATACGAAAGCAAGGCAGAATGGTTGGTTTTCCTTTAATCCAAGTGTAACTACTACATTAACATTCTCCCAGTGTAGCTCCTACTAACCTTGAATCCAAGCTCCTGAGCACAAGCATACACTGCAGCAGTTTTCCCCACTCCTGTTGGCCCTGTTATAAGAACAGTATTGCAAAGGCGAGTCTCTTCTTCGTCATCTGAACTGCCTTTAAAATCTATGCTATCCGACAGATCTGAAAAATTATTCAAATGCAAATTATGAATTGATAATTGCTTGGGCAGCAATTCTATCTCACAAAATGCAATGATCACACCTTACAAACTTCTTGCCAATAAATGCTGGAAATTTAATTTATAAAAACTAGAAAATCAAATGACTCAAAATACCTTCCTGTTTCTCATCTTTTTTTCCCTTCAAATTTTGTCTTTCTTCCAATTCAGCTCTTTTCTTCCAGTCTTTCAACCAGCTGCCATGAGAAAATGTATGTTAATAAAAATAATTCACAGAATAGAGATCTCTTTGAACCAACTATATATAGTAAAATATCTTTACATGGGCATGAATATTTTTATTTTTTTTGCATGAACATTTTTAAATGAAGTAATTTTACCAAAATACACAGACTCTGTGTACAAAGTTATTCACTGCAACATTGTTTATACTAGCTTCCAAAGGGAAAAACCTAAGTATCTCAGTAGGAAAAAAAGATACATACAGTAGAGTTACCTAAGAAACCAGTACAGAACAACTGTAAAGAACTGAGGAGACCATGTGATGACATGAAAGATGCCTAATACATGGTATTAAGCATAAGTAGAAAGATTAAGTTCTAGACTGCCCAAGTCTGAGTTTCAGCTCCAGCACTTTCGAGCTGTGTGACTCTGGACAAATAATTCAACCCCGTAGGCCCATTCCTCATCTATGAGATAAGGACAATAGTATCTACCCTCATGGTACAGTTTTAAGGATTAAATGAGCTAAGAACAATGAAAATATTTAGAACAGTACTAAGCTCAAAGTGTTAACTATTATTATAGGCCCCTATTTCTTATATGAAATCCTTTGGACAAGTGAGTTTTAGAATTCAAAAATTTTCAGGTATTAGAAAAGTAATTTGGCACATATACCATATATACTACAATACCTCCCGGTGCGTGGAGCCTGCTTCTCCCTCTGCCTGTGTCTCTACCTCTCTCTCTCTCTCTCTCTCTGTGATGACTATCATAAATAAATAAAAATTAAAAAAAAATACCTCTAATGGGGTCTGTAGCGTTACATCTACAATTACTTAATATTTCTATTTTAAAAAATATATGAACTCCTGGGCAGCCTGGGTGGCTCAGTGGATTAAGCACCTGCCTTCCGCCAGGGTGTGATCCCGGAGTCCCAGGATCGAGTCCCACCCCAGACTCCCTGCATGGAGCCTATTCCTCCCTCTGCCTGTGTTTCTGGCTCTCTCTCTCTGTGTGTGTGTGTGTGTGTGTGTGTGTGTGTCTATCATGAATAAATAAATAAAATCTTTAAAAAAAAAAAATCCCTGGGGGATCCCTGGGTGGCACAGCGGTTTGGCGCCTGCCTTTGGCCCAGGGCACGATCCTGGAGACCCAGGATCGAATCCCACGTCGGGCTCCCGGTGCATGGAGCCTGCTTCTCCCTCTGCCTGTGTCTCTGCCTCTGCCTCTCTCTCTCTCTCTCTCTCTCTCTCTCTCTGTGTGACTATCATAAATTTAAAAAAAAAAATTCCCTGGAAAGATTTTTTTAAAAAATAATAATAATAAATAAAAAATATATGAACTCCTATTAAGTGAGATTCCTAAAACTCATGATATATGATAAAGTTAGTAACTTTCGGTTTTCAGAACTTCTTGGATATGGGAATCATAAACAAAAGATTATGGACCTGAGGGATCCCTGGGTGGCTCAGCGGTTTAGCGCCTGCCTTTGGCCCAAGGCGTGATCCTGGAGTCCCAGGATCGGGTCCCTCATCGGGCTCCCTGCATAGAGCCTGCCTCTCCCTCTGCCTGTGTCTCTGCCTCTCTCTCTCTCTGAATAAATAAATAAAATCTTAAAAAAAAAGATTATGGACCTGAATTAATAGTAATATGATCCTATTTGTTAAGAAGAAAGGAGCCAATATATGCATAAAATTTTTTCCTGGAAGGTTTTACAAAAAATCTTTAATGGTTGACCTCTGGAGAGTAGAAATGGAAGAAAAAAGGAATATTTACTTTTCACATTTTTCCTAATTTTCTTTTTTTTAATTTTTTTTTTTTAATTTATGATAGTTACAGAGAGAGAGAGAGAGAGAGAGAGAGAGAGAGAGAGAGGCAGAGACACAGGCAGAGGGAGAAGCAGGCTCCATGCACCGGGAGCCCGACGTGGGATTCGATCCCAGGTCTCCAGGATCGCACCCTGGGCCAAAGGCAGGCGCCACACTGCTGCGCCACCCAGGGATCCCCAATTTTCTTTTTTTTAAAGATTTTATCATGTAATGTATTACTTTATAATTTCTAGATTTTAGTATAAATAAAATAAAGTAGTAAAACTAGATTCATAAACAGTTTCTCAATTCTTTTACAAGTTTTACCAACCTATGTAACTTTTTTATAGCCAGTTCATTGCCTATGAGTTCATTGGAGTTCTGAGGTTGGTACTTTTCTGTCCAAAGCATGTCTTCAGTTCCAGAATCTAAAGCAAAAAATATGCATTAAAATATTGCTCCTTGACATAAGTATATATTCTTAGACATTTACAGTATTGTTTCATGTAAATAATACGTATTTATACAAGTATTTATATCTACAAAATGCCAAAAGGGGCAACTTTACATTAAAGTTCTTTTCTTAAAATTAAAAAAAAAAAAGTTGTTTTTTTTTTTTTGAATTTTTAATATTTTTATTTGAGGGAGAAGGAGAGGAAGAGGGAAAGAGAACATGAGTAGGTGGAGGGACAGAGAGATAAGCAGACTTGCCACTGACTATGGAGCCCAACGCAGGGCTTGATCCCAGAACCCTGAGAGCATGACCTGAGGGGAAGTCAGACACTTAAGTGCCTGAGCCACCCAGGTACTCCATATTTGAAATTCTTCGTTATCAAAACACTTCCCCCTTAGAAGCTAACCACCACTGGGCCAAGTGGGTGACTCAGTCAGGTAAGTGTCCAAGTCTTGATCTCAGGACAGGTCTTGATTTCAGGGTTGTGAGTTCAAGCCCCACATTGGGCCCCACAATGGGTTACGTGATGGACACGGAGCCTACTTAAAAAGGGGGGGGGGGAGGGACACCTAGGTGGCTCCAGTTAGTTAAGCAGCCAACTCTTTGATTTTGGCTCAGGTCATGATCTCAGGATTGTAAGATGTCTGGCTCTGCACCTGGCAGAGTCAGCTCCTCTCCCTTTGCCCTCTGCCGAACCTCCATCCTCCCCTTCCGTGCACACTTTCAAATAAATATATCATTAAAAAAAATAATAATAAAAAGCTAACCACCATAAAGTCTCATGACAGTAAAGTACACATTTAGGGCAGCCCGGGTGGCTCAGTGGTTTAGCACTGCCTTCAGCCCAGGGCGTGATCCTGGAGACCTGGGATCAAGTCCCACGTCAGGCTCCCTGCAAGGAGCCTGCTTCTCCCTTTGCCTGTATCTCTACCCCTCTCTCTCTGTGTCACTTATGAATAAATAAATAAAATCTTTAAAAAAAAAAAAAAAAAGTAGGGCAGCCCGGTGGCTAAGCGGTTTAGCACCGCCTTCAGCCCAGGGTATGATCCTGGAGACCCTGGAATGAGTCCCATGTCGGGCTCCCTGCATGGAGTCTGCTTCTCCCTCTGCCTGTGTCTCTGCCATGCTCTCCCTCTCTCTCTGTGTCTCTCATTAATAAATAAGTAAATCTTAAAAAAGAAAAAAAAAGTACACATTTAGAAGCGTAGAGCATGGCTGGCTCTGTGGGTAGAGCATGTGACTCTTGATCTTGGGATCATGAGTTCAAGCCCCATGTTGAGGGTAGAGATTCCTTAAAAAAATTTTTTTAGGGGATCCCTGGGTGGCTCAGCGGTTTAGCGCCTGCCTTCGGCCCAGGGTGTGATCCTGGAGACCCGGGATCGAATCCCACGTCGGGCTTCCTGCATGGAGCCGCCTCCTCCCTCTGCCTGTGTTTCTGCCTCTCTCTCTGAGTCTCTCATGAATAAATAAATAAAATCTTTAAAAAAAATTTTAATATTAAAAAGATAAATATTAGCACATATTTAAAACTTTAATAATCACTAAAAAAATGAAACATGAAAAATAATGTATACTGTAAGAAATAATCTAAAGAGCAAAGGCAGGGCAGCCCCGGTGGTGCAGCGGTTTAGCGCCACCTGCAGCCCAGGGCATGATCCTGGAGACCCTGGATCAAGTCCCATGTCAGGCTCTCTGTAGGGAGCCTGCTTCTCCCTCTGCCTGTGTCTCTGCCTCTCTCTCTTTCTGCATCTCTATGAATAAATAAATAAAATCTTTAAAAAAAAAAAGAGCAAAGGCAATATAATTTTAGTGCAATTTCCTTTGACTCCTGGAAAAAAAAATTAAAACGACCTAAGTCAACTTGGGTAAATGGAGATGTGCTACTCCCATTTAAGAAGACGGAATGTTGGGGATCCCTGGGTGGCGCAGTGGTTTGGCGCCTGCCTTTGGCCCAGGGCGCAATCCTGGAGACCCGGGATCGAGTCCCGCATCAGGCTCCCTGCATGGAGCCTGCTTCTCCCTCTGCCTGTGTCTCTGCCTCTCTCTCTCTCTCTCTCTCTCTCTCTCTCTCTGTGTGTGACTATCATAAATAAATAAAGAAAAAAAATAAAAAAAGAAAAAAAAAAGAAGACGGAATGTTGTAAAGATGCCAATTCATTCCAAATTAATCTATACACTAATGCAAAATCAAAACCTAAGGGGATTTGTGGGGGTAGGAGAATCTGTAGGTCTTTCAGCAGTGCAGCTACATAAACATAGTTTTAAAAAATGATAGGAAATTTGCTGTATAAATATCAAAACACCTTTTAAAGCTATATAACTGGATGACTTAATTAATTTAAAAAAAAATACTTTGAAAAAGCTAGATAACCCAAATGGGAACATGTCAGAGACACGTGAAATAGATATAAATTGTATAGCATTAAAAAATAATAATGATAAATACATAAAAATTGTATAGTACAATTCCAGGTTTTTAAAAAAAACACATATTTACAAAAGCACAGAAAAATCAAAGACCAAACACCAATCTATTAAATGTGTCACTGTGTCAGTGTGTAATTAATAAGGCTTCCACTTTTTGTTTTATATACATATATAGCTTGAATGTTGCAATGAACATGTATTAAAAAGAGAAAATGAAGGGTTAAATAAACAAAAGTGTTATAGGAGCAGAGAAAGAAGGTCTGATTTACCAGGAATAGGAGATCTTTCTGAGGGAGACTCTTTGCCATCATCTATTATCAGAACATCAGGATCTTCAACTGCTTCTGTTTCTACTTTACACGTTATACTCAAAGTAGTTTGTTTCTTCCTGGATGTTTTAGAAAGGCCTTGCTTTATCCTATTGGAGTTGTTTCTCTTGTCAAATTCTTCTGGTTTCTCATTTATCTTTTTTGGACTTGGTGAAGACTCATTTGGTTTCTTTCTTTTTGACTTATGAATGTCTATTTCCACTCGTTTCCTTTTGGTTTCCTTTTGATTGACATCAGGCTCTAGTTGTGGACTTTCTATTTCAGAAATTACAGAAGTGCATGTGCTTACTATTCAACCAAAAACCAATTTTAATATCCAGTCATCTATATATCACTTCAAAATATCCAATAATTTTATTACTCCAAGATAGAGGTAAGGATCAAATGTGGCACAATGAATGCAATCAGGACATCTTGTTCTATAGACTGCCTTTTATACAAAGTATGTAAATTCAAATGATCTCACCTAAGGCTTTCCTTAAATGAACTATTAATGTTTTAACCTAATAAAATCTGTCTTTAGGTTTGCATGGTAGGGGCCAACACTGCACTGACCAAGATGCTTTACTCCAGTTGAACAGCTGATCATCAGCAATATTCTCTCTGGACTTCCAAGAGTCAATGACCAAGTCTTAATGTTTTCAAAAGCAAAATGTTAACGTAAATGATAACTGTCACTAACCTTGTTTACGATGACATTCAGAAAGTACTTGGTGCTCACTTCGTTTTTTTAGAAGCAAAGAAAAATATGTCCTCAAAGAAAACTCAGGATTTGACCACCTAATTTCCTCTAGCAAAAGATTTCTTATTTCTTCAGTCATATCTTTCCTTCTGTCCACAAACTGCAATAAAGAATAAAATGCTCAACAGACCTACATTATCTATTTTAAGATTTTTTTTTTTAAGTAATCTCTATGCCCAATAGGGGGCTCAAACTCACAACCCTGAGACCAAGAGTTGTCTGCTCCACTGACTGAGCCAGCCAGGTGACCCCTACATGGTCTATTAATATTAGTCACCAACCACTTTCTAATAAGTCAGTATTAATGTAGGAGTAGTTTTAGTGACTAAATACAACACTGACAGCAAAGCTGCATTTGCATAGCTTTTGAAGGATTTCATTCATATTTTTATTGTTTCCTCTTTCAACTAACTGTAAGTTATACATTTATCAGATTAGAATGCTGACATATACAATACCTAAATGTGCTATATAACCTAATATTCTTTTGAAATTGGCTACCATTAATTCTTAAAATGTTTCCAAAGCTGTAGGAATATTTAAAAGAGATGTCTACCTCAACTGGGATTTATTTTTTTAAATTGGACTCTAGGGGAAAAAAAATGAACTTTAGATGACAATAGTAGATATCCAATTTTTTTTTTTCCCCTCTGAGAGATGTGAAGGAAACACCCTACAAAGGATGAGCTCTCTATACTTACCACAACCGTAGAATTAGTAATTTTGGAGTTTGAATTCAATGTTGAAAATTCACCAAGAGCAAGAACACATTTTGAAAGATCTATTACTCTAGTATTCAGTTCTTTAAGTTTGGTTAAGAGAGGGCACGTAGGTGGTTTCAAATGCCACAAGTGGCATCCTAAAGAAAAACAGAAAATAAGTATCTTAATTACTTTCCTTGTATATTACTTTCCTAATATACATTCAATGCCAAATATGCAAACATGCAAAGACCTGACAACTACACAGTTAACACAAAGATACCAAAACTCAAATGACTACACAGGGAACACTTCCAACAAATAAAATCAATAAAAAATTAGTGAGTCTTCTGTTCCAATTGTTTAAAATAACCAAGTAATAGCAAACTTTGTTTTCTTTTTTAATCAACCTTGCTACTCAGGGTAAAGATTTCAGGGGCAGTTAGCATCCTGCTCTAAAGTTTAAACTCTGAAGTCAGACCTGGGTTCAACTCCAAACTGTGCCACTTGCTAGCTAGGTGAGCATGAGCAAGATCCTAAACCTTAGCTTTTTCATCTGTAAAGCAGAGGTGACAACTGTAATAATCAAAACCTCCTAGAGTGGTTATGGAGATTAAACTACTTATGCACACATATGCCAGATACTAGTAAATCAATATGTAATAACTCTTAAGGTTCTAAGAGAGAGATTCTCTCTGGGCTTCCCTCATCTCATCTACAAATATATATGCTAAGTTTGACAGCAGCGCTCTGGTGAAAATGTGTTTATCAGTATCAGGGAAGAAGAGTGTAACTAATTTCTATAGTTGAATATAGTAATACAAATGCTGTAGAAAATTAACTGGTGAAAGTAACAAGACAAGTTTCATCAACTGAATGGCGAATGGCAGAGCCAGGGAAGAAAGGGAAAGAAGTCTGGTTGGGAATTTCCCTGTATAAATGGAAGGCTGAGGGGCACCCAGCTGGCTGTCAGTTGAGCATCTGACTTAGGCTCAGGTCATGATCTCAGGGTCCTGGGATACAGCCTTGTGTTGGGCTCCCTGGTCAGCAGGGGAGTGTGCTGTCCCTCTCTGTCTCTCCCTGCTCGTGCTCTTCTTTCCCTCTCAAAAAATTCAATAAAATAAAATAATAAAATCAAATCTAAATGGGAGGCTGAACAAAACTCAAAAACTATTAAGGTCAGAAACACAAAAGGAAAAAAGAAAGAAAAGGAATGTAGATATTTCATTGAGTAGAGGGAGTGCATTAAACCAAACCACAAAGCCAGCTGAGAAGAATACAATTGCTTATGTACTGACAAAAAAACCTACAGGCAGGAACAATGACGAGGATGATATAAAGCTTTGTACACTTTTGGTAATTAAAAACTATATAAGTAAAATAAGACTGTGGTTACTATAGCATTTGAATCCAAATAGAATCCAGTTCTGATCAAGCTAAGACAATTGTGCAAGTGGCTTGTGCAAACAACTCACCCATGTGCATAGTGTGTGTGAGGAAAGGGTGAGATGGAGCACGCAACGCTGCTACTTACTTGTTTGTTACCTATTCTAGCAGATATTTATATGGGATGAGAGCGAAAAAAGCTGTTCTGGAAAGGAGGCAACCAGATTTCACTTGAACATTCAGTAGCCCATTGGAAAGGACAGAGCTGGAGCTCCTCTGAGAAAGTCTTAAAGATGACCTGTTATACACAGGCTACGTGTGAAGAGCACTGCCTTTTTTAGAACACAGTGCCTCTCAGAACAAAAGCACTGAAGGACCCACCCACGTGCCTACTCTCTATTAGCACTTGGGGTGAGGGTTGAGGGCTGAGGATGCTGCTGGTTCTCCTGCCCCAAGCTCCCCATCCTCAGTAAAGTGAGTCCAAGATTGAGGAAGAGAGAATGAAACACATTCTTCAAGTTCCCACTAAAAATCCCTTTAAGAATTATCTTTAAACCTTTGCCTCATTTTAAGTCACCTTACAGTTTCACATTCCTTCTATCATTTAAAAATATTTCATTATAACAAACTCACCATCATCTTTTTGTTGTACGTGGACAACTCTCTGGAAACTGGTACTCACTGCATTGTACACATCTAATGCAGCAGCTTTCTTTGCAATCTGTCGTTTCAGCAATTCTGGCAAACCACTCATTAGAAAGTCACGTTTTGCTTTAAACTGCACATCACAATCCTGAGATTTTTCACATGTATCTTGACTTTTAAGAAAACGATGTGAAAAAGGAAACCTAAGGTTATAAACACTTAAAAAAATAAACCATAGAACACTTTTTAATTTGATAAAAATCAACTATTTGAGATGTTAGCTGGTCAAATTCATTTTTGCTTATCATAAAAAGTATATCAGTTTTAAGAAATTACGTAAAATACATAGAGAAAAATGATTTGAAGGACATCCACCAAAATGTTAATAGAAGCTATCTTTAAATGGTGAGTTTCTTCCCTGTGTCTTCTGTCTTCTTTTTTAAGAAGCAAGCCTTTATATTATAATCTGAAAACAATGTGTTATATTTCAAAAAGTTAATATAGGAATTTCTAAGGTAATGTTTCCCAAATAGTAAGCGAGAACATTAGGGCCTTTATTACTGACACCTGGGTTTTACCTGGGTTATCTCCATCTTGCTAAATGTAAGAGTCTTGACTTCCCTGGGAGGGAAATGAGGGGGTAGAGGAGGATGGGATGCTGGAATAGTGGAGTGGGGAGACTGGTATCACAGCTTATCTGCCCTTCCTAGCTTGTTACATACAGAATGAGAACTGTCATATTCTCTACAGAAATTTGGATCAGTAATTAAAAAGAGGCAACAAGAACTTCCATTTCTCTTTTCCTTTACTATTTGAGAGAAATGAGGGAAAGATGAGATCCAAAGAGAGTGTGGAGGAATTAATCTTAGAAAAGTGGAGGTATACCTTTTTTTAGTGTTAGTTGGAGGGATGGAGGAAAAGATGGGTGAAGTGGTAGCTAAATGAGTATGTGCCAAGGGTACCTGGCTGGCTCAGTCGGTAGAGCATGCAACTCTTGATCTCAGGGTTGTAAGCTTGAGCCCCATGTTGGGTGTAAAGTACTTAAAATATTAAAAAAAAAAAAGAGTACCTACCTATAGCAGAAGGTAAACTTTCAGGAGAAGGGTACAAGGTAGTGCTGTAAAATATACATGTTATATATATGTGATACAATATGTATTATATGCAATTATAAATAGTTTGGATGTGTGTGTATATGTGTATGCATATATTTGTGTGTGTGCATATTTCCTAGGTTTTTTTTTTTTAATTTTTATTTTATTTATGATAGTCACACAGAGAGAGAGAGAGGCAGAGACACAGGCAGAGGGAGAAGCAGGCTCCATGCACCGGGAGCCCGACGTGGGATTCGATCCTGGGTCTCCAGGATCGCGCCCTGGGCCAAAGGCAGGCGCTAAACCGCTGCGCCACCCAGGGATCCCTTCCTAGCTTTATCTGCTAAGAAGCCCAGAAGCTCTGATCCCTCAGGAGCAATGAGTAAAATAAGCACTTAGATGTTGGCTTCTAAATACCATCCTACAATAAAAAGAACCAAGGCTCTGTGGAATAAAGGCTATATACAGAGCTGGGGCAGGGCACATCAAAGATGAACCTGGAACATCTTCCTGTTCCACAAAGTAAGGAATGCCAAATAAACGACAGGGATGTGTCAAAGGGACACAGAAACCATGCTGAAAACTTCCTACTAGCTAATTAGAAATAATCTAAATATCAAAATAAAAATTGATGGATTAAAACTCCATGAAAAAATAGGAAACCATGAATAAATATGTAAATGAGAGATGTAAAAGCACTTTCTCATAGCAGCCAACAAATAGAAAAAGATAGACCAAGGACAATGAGCAACAGCTCAACACCATCTGACAATGATCACAGTGTGGTTAATTAATCCAAGTGGAAACCATCAATGTTAAGGCTAATAACTGGAGGTCTGCTGAAGAACAAGATACTGACATTATTTTAGAATATCTTTCCCCAAATATGAATCAGTTTCCAAGGAAAGGGTGAATTTAAGGTGGAGAAATCTAGCAGACGTCAACATGCCCAGCGGGTCAAGCTCAGCATCACCAGTGGTGAGGTAAGGTCACCTACACCTCCTTATGTGATGCAGGGAGAAGAGCAGAGCACTGTTTTCTGTGGTAATTCTGACAGAAATGTAGAACTTGAGTCTCATAATGAGGGACTATCAGTTTTAAGAAATTCCATAAAAATAAATACATAGAGAAAAATGATTTGAAGGACATCCACCAAAATGTTAACAGAGGCGATCTTTGAGTGGTGAGTTGAGAGTCATCCTACAACACATATGGTCTGCACCCTTCAATAAAAACAGTCGCAGAAATGGAAAATCCTGGTAAAGGGATATGGAGTTCTTTATAGTATTCTAGTAGCTTTTCTTAAAGTTATTTCAACATCAATTATTTTTAAAATTCTTTCAGGGGATCCCTGGGTGGCGCAGCGGTTTGGCACCTGCCTTTGGCCCAGGGCGCATCCTGGAGACCCGGGATCGAATCCCACGTCAGGCTCCCGGTGCATGGAGCCTGCTTCTCCCTCTGCCTATGTCTCTGCCTCTCTCTCTCTCTCTGTATGACTATCATAAATAAATAAATAAATAAATAAATAAATAAATAAATAAATAAATAAATAAATAAATAAATAAATAAATAAATAAAAAATAAATAAAATTCTTTCATAATGCACCAATTAAGGAACATAATAATTTTAAGAAATTTAAGTAGTCCAAAACCAGCAAATTTCTTCCTTCAAACAATTCTACTGACTAAAGCAAATGCATCTAAGATAATAGCATTAGGTGAAATGGTAACTGTGGGATCTACAGATTAAAAAAAAAATCAATTTTATTTCTATATACTAGAAATCAGCAATTGGAAAACAGTACCATTTACAATAATAATAAATACATGAAATAACTAGATATAAATTTAACACAACATGTATAAAATCTCTACACTGAACCACAGAACACTGATGAAAGAAATTAAAAACTCAAATAGAAATATATGCCATGTTTTTAGATCAAGACTTAATACTGTTAAATCAATTCTCTCACAATTTAATACAATCATCAGCAAAATCCCAGCAGACTTCTACACAAATGTTTTTGACATCTTTATTCACAATAGCTTAAAACTGGAAACCCAAAGGTCCACCAACAGGTGAGGAGACAGACAAAAAGTGGTGTATCCAAACAATGGAATACTATTCAGCAAAAATATTATAATAATGAACTACTGATTGATTCTTGAACAATATGGGAGTTATGAATGCTGACCCCATGTGTAGTCAAAAATGCATGTGTAATGTTTGACTCCCCAAAATCTTACCTACTAATAAAAGCTTATTGTGGACTGGAAGCCTTAGTGACTAACACTAACAGGTGATTAACATATAGTCTGTGTTGTATGTATTATATGCTATATTCTTTACAATAAAGCTAGAGACAAAAATATTAAGAAAATCATAAGGAAAATAGATTTTTACAGCACCGTAATGTAAAACATCCATGTAAGCGGGCCTACATAATTCAAGCCATGTTGTTCAGGAGTCAACTGTGTTTGATAACATGAATAAATCTCAAAATCAGGACACTTAAAGAGGCCAGGCAAAAAAAAGTATTATGATTTCATTAATAAAGATTTCTAGAAAATGCAAATTAACATATAGAAAAAGAGATTGGCACTTGTCTGAGCTGGGACTAGAAGAACTGCAGAAGGGCATAAGGAGTCTTCTAGAGGACAATGGAAATAAACCAGTATCTGTATGGCAGTGATGGTGCTTTCACACAACTGACAAAGGTCACCAAGTAAGTTATACACTTTAAATACAGGTGACTATATGTAAATTATACCTCAACAAGGTTTAAAATGTAACTAATTGGGATGCCTGGGTGGCTCAGTGGTTGAGCGTCTGCCTTTGGCTCAGGGCGTGATTGTGGGGTCTTGGGATCAAGTCCCACATCACACTCCCTGGGGGAAGCCTGCTTCTCCTCTGCCTATGTCTCTGCCTTTCTCTCTGTGTCTCTCATGAATAAATAATTTTTAAAAATTAAAAAAATAATTGATTAAAAATAATACGTAAAAGAATAAAAAATAGTAATATATCACTAGAAACCTATTAAAATGGCTAAAATTTAAAAAGTCTGATAATGCCAAGTGTTAGCAACTGGAACTCTCCTATATTGCTAGTGGGAGTGGAAAATAGAACCACCACTTGGGAAAAGTTTGGCAGATTTGTATACTGTTAAACATATACCTACCCAGTGACAGAACAATTCCATTTCTAGGTATTTACTCAAGAGAAATGAGAACACTGTCTACACATGTGTATGGAATGTTCACAGCAGCCTAATTAATAATCTCCAAATATTGGAAACAACCCAAATGGCCATCAATAAAAGAATGGATAAACAAACTGTGGTATATTCATATAAGGAATAGTATTCAGCAATAAAAAAGAATAGGCTACTGATACATTACATTGACTGAAAGAAGCCAGAGACAAAAGTGTACCCTGTATGATTTTATTTCTATGAAATTCTAGAAAAGGCAAACCAATCTATATCAACAGAAAACAGACCAGAAATTGCATGGGATTGGGACCTCGGGGCAGGGATTAACTGCAAAGAGGCACAAAGGAACTTTTTTGAGTGTGAAGAAAATGTTCTCTATTGTTATGATGATTACACAGATGTGTACATTTGTTAAAACTCAAACTATGAACAGCCCGGGTGGCTCAGCTGTTTAACACTGCCTTCAGCCCAGGGTGTGATCTTGGAGACCTTGGATCGAGTCCTACGTCAGGCTACCTACATGGAGCCTGCTTCTCCCTCTGCCTGTGTCTCTGCCCTCCCCCTCTCTCTCTGTGTCTCTCATGAATAAATAAATAAATAAAAATTTCAAAAAAAAAAAAACCCTCAAACTATTTACTTGACATTGTGTACATATGATTGTACATTATACCTGAATAAAGCTGATTTTTAAAAAGCGTGTGTACTGAGCAAAAGCAATTAGATACTGGCAAAACAAATCCATGGTAACAGAAATCAAACTAATCAACTGTGATGAAATCAGAATAGTGGTAACTTTTTGTTGTGGTAGGGACAATAATAGAAAAAGAATAACCTTTCAGGAGTAAAAGAAATATGTTAAATCTTGATTTAATGTACTTATCAAAACTGTTATGTTTAAGGATTATGCATTTAACAAAACAAACAAAACAGAAATGGACTCATGACACAGGAAACAAAGTGTTGGCTACCAGAATAGGGAAGGGGTGGAGGCAGATAAAATAGAGGAAGAGGATTAACAGGTACAAACTTCTAGTCATAAAATAGTTGAGTTGTGGGATGAAATGTACAGCAGAGGGAGCATAATCAATCAACGGTAGTAACTTTCTATACAATGACAAAGGGTTACTAGACTTATGGGGATCTTTTTGTAATGTATAAAAATATTGAATCACTATCATGTACATCTCAAACAGGATATTGTATGTCAATTGTACTTAAATACAAAAAAAGATTTGTGCATTTAATAATATGTAATTATGCCTCAATAAAAGTGAAAGAGGAAAAAATAACCTGAACCATGATGTCCCAAACCTGGTCTTCTTTCATCATGCCATCCGCTTGCATCGGGATACTAGAACTTAAGTATCATCTTTACACCTTCCTTTCTCCTACCCCTAACCCCCAGATATAATTAATCATTATGGATTTTAATCTAGCAAATTGATCCAGTAGTCAGAATAAACTTTCCAAAATTCAAAATGGTTATGTTCATACTTGTGTTTAAGTATGGATGCTTCCTATTACCTAATTCTTATTGCCCTTGGTATAATGACACAATTCTTTCACATGGTCTAAAGGTGCTACATGGACTGGCACCCACCTCTCCAGCTTAATCCCACATTCCTCTCACTTCTGCTCTCTGTGCTCAATCCACACTGGCATTCTTTCAACCTTTACTATTTTCCATGCTCTCTCCAGCTACAGGGACTCTGCAGACTGTTCCCTCTGGCTAAAACACTGTTCCTCCTGATGAACTCCTGCTAATACTTCAGTTCAGGTGACATTTCTTTAGCAAAGCCTTCCTTGCTTGACCAGACCAAATCCACTTAATAGAAACGTAAAAGAACTTGATACCTCTCCTTCTTAGCACAACTGCAATTTTCATTTGTTGGTCTAACTGATGTTTAATCATAGATTATCTTTCTTCCAGAGTATAAACCTCATGAGGACAGAGAATGTGTCTTGTTTTGTTCTCCATAATATTCCTGTACCAAATACAGTGCTTCATACATAGGATGTATTTAAAGATTTTATTTTATTTATTTTTAAATATAATCTCTATCCCTAGTGTGGGGCTCAAACTCATGACCTCGACATCAAGAGTTTCACACTCTTTCCACTGAGCCAGCCAGGCACCCCCGTACCAGGTATTTAAATATTTATTGAATAAGTTCATAATCAGCTCTCTGGTGCTTTTGGTTTATTTTCCCACTGTTTCATCTAGAGATGGCCACAAAATGTCTGATCTTCAAGTTGCAGTTGCAGCACTGTTAATATTGTCACCTTTAAAAATGAACTTGTTAGAGATGCTTGGGTGGCTCAGCGGTTGACTGTGTATACCTTTGGCTCAGGGCCTGATCCCAAGGTCCGGGATCGAGTCCCACATTGGGCTCCCTGTGGTGAACCTGCTTCTCCCTCTGCCAATGTCTCTGCCACTCTCTCTGTGTCTCTCGTGAATAAATAAAAATCTTTTGAAAAAATAAATAAAAATAAAAATGAACTTGTTAAAGCCTCAAATGATAATGAAAACGCTTTCTCATCAAAGTAAAGCAAAAATACAAAAAAACATTCCATAAGATATTTCAGCATTTAAAAATTTGTATTGGACTGACCTGCTTTCATCAAAACCAAGAACAGGATCAGCTGTTTTCTGAGTCTTTCTGGTAAGAAATAATGGAGCAACTTTCATTTTCCCTTAAAAAAATAAATACTTAGGTTAGTGCCAATGTTTATCATCTCTACTTACCTCCAGCTACTTTCAAATTATAGCTCTACTTTCTTAAACTTAAAAAAAAAATAACTCTTTACTTTTTTTAACTTAAAAAAAATACCTTTTTAATTTTAAAAATTTCTATATAATGATCTGGTCTCCCAATATCATTATCAGAATTTCCTGGAAATTTTTTTTTTAACTACAGATTCCCACACCCACCTAAAGAGATTCTCAGTCAATATGCCTAGGGAAGGACCTAAAGATTTAAGGACTTTTTAATTTATTCTGATGATTTTGATGGTCTGTCAGGTATAGGAGCCTCTAACTTAATGAGGCTAAATAGAAATTCAATAACCTAAATGTACAAAATCACCTTTATAAAACTCTACACTACACTATAATTTTACTTATTAAATAAAAATACTTAATATAAAGTTTATACCATATAAGACAAGGAATTAAAATGACAGCATTCAGAGCAATATAATCCCTCTGAAACATTCTAATGTTCATCATAAGCATTATCAAGTTTGATTACCAGGTACATTTTTAGGAATCTTGTTTAGTTTTTTTCCTAGCACATCATTCAGACACTGAAGCTTCTTCTGATTTTTCTCAGGCTGCTTTAAAGAAGTATGATCTGAATCGATTATTATTAAAGAATCCTAGGACAGAATAAGAAAACCATTTTAAAAATACGTCATATAATTGATGTTTTAAAATTTCAAAAGGAGGGGATCCCTGGGTGGCGCAGCGGTTTAGCGCCTGACTTTGGCCCAGTGCGCGATCCTGGGGACCCGGGATCGAATCCCACGTCGGGCTCCCGGTGCATAGAGTCTGCTTCTTTCTCTGCCTATGTCTCTGCCTCTCTCTCTCTCTCTGTGTGACTATCATAAATAAATAAAAAATAAATAAATAAAAAATTTCAAAAGGATTATGGTGCTAGTAGCCATAGGTAAGACAATGACATTAGCAGCTGCAAATACCTCTCCATCAGACATTACCTGACTGATACGGGGAACATCTAAGTGACATCAACCCAAGTAACATCACATAGGTTCACATGCTGAAGAGTAGATTTATTATGATCATGGGTCTTCTTTTTAAAAAAAGCAACCAAAAAATAATAAATAAATAAATAAATGAATAAATAAATAAATAAATAAAAATAAAAAATAAAAAAATAAAAAAAGCAACCAGGGAATCCCTGGGTGGCTCAGCGGTTTAGCGCCTGCCTTTGGCCCAGGGGGCAATCCTGGAGTCCCGGGATTGAGTCCGTCCCACATCAGGCTCCCCGCATGGAGCCTGCTTTTCCCTCCTCCCGTGTCTCTGCCTCTCTCTCTCTATGTCTATCATAAATAAATGAATCTTTGAAAAAAAAAATAAATAATAAAAAAATAAAAATAAAAGAAGCAGCCAAAAGACTTTATTCCAGATAAAAGAATCAAAATGACCAAGCTATAAAAATTCTAGCTATATTCTTTGAGAGCCATACACCCTATAAATGTATTAGGTGAAGTCTGATGTTTTCATGTTGTCAGCCTATATTTACTGAGCATCTACTATATGTCAGGCACTGGGAGTACAAAGATGAAACAAGACTTGGCTTCAAGGTTATACCAGGGCTTATGGGACAAAGGGAGAGCTAATCTGTAAGTAGGTAGTTCCATATAAAACAGTATGGTGAGAGCAATACTAACCAAAATACAAAAAAAACATAGAAGTATATATAGGGGAGGAAACTACCTGTCTTGTCGGCATCAGCAAAGCTTTCAAGAGTCATTATTAATAGCCAAAAAGTGGAAGCAATCCAAATCTCCATGAACTGATGAATCAGTAAATAAAATGTAATATATCCATATAATGGGGTATTATTTGGCAATAAAAATAAATGAAATTAAAAAATAAATAAAAATAAATGAAATATTGATGCTACAACATGGATGAACCTTGAGAACATTATGAGTGAAAGAAACCAAACACAAAGGACCATATATGGTATGTATGTTACCATTTATATGAAATGTTCAGAGTAGGCAAATCTCTAGAGATAGGATTGGCTACAGCCGGGGGAAGAGAGATTGGGAAGTGACAGCTAAGAGGAATGAGGGTTCTTTTTGAGGTAATAAAATGTTCTAAAATTGTGGTAATGGATGTACAACTCTAAATATATTAAAAGCCAATGAATTATACACTTTAATAGTGGATTGTATGGTATGTGATTTATATCTCTATAATAAAGCTAGTTTTTAAAAAAAGAGGAGGTGTTAGCATTTAGTAGGACTTAATGTTTGAGTAGCAATGCTTTATGTAGAAAAGAATATTTGGAATGTGCATTTCAAGCTGAGACTACAAAATGGAAAAAAGTAAAAAATTACACCATTTGGGGAGGAATGAATAATTTAGTGTGACTAGAGCAAATACTGTCTATATGAGGAAGGGGGTTGTTTTGAGGAAAGGGAAGAGATAATTCAGCCTATAAAGGATCTTGAATGACTTGATAAGCATTCAGACTGTATTCTGCAGGCAAAGAGCCAAAAGCTTCTAAAACAGAACTGAAAATGATATTCTTTCTACCACCTCAAGGGTATCTTACAAATCTACCCTATAACTTAATAATGACTTCCTTCTCCCACTCCAAGCAGAATAGAATTCATACCAATTAATATTTTTAATACTTACTTCTGTTTCTGACAATTCTGTCCTTTCAGGAAGTGTCTGATGTCTAGATGAACGTCTCAAGGGTGTCACTATTTCTTCAGTAGCTTTTGACCTACTAATGTGTAAAGCTTTTGCTTTTTCAACCAATTGTTTTGCTTTTGATAGATTTTTTGAAGCACTGCTTGCCTAAACAAAAATTTGAAATATTAGTTTAGGTCAGTGGCAAATATTTTAGATTTAACAATAAAAAATTTTTTTAAAAGGCAAAACTTTGGAGAGTAAAAAAGGTTGGTGGTTGCCAGGAGTAAAGTGAGGAGAAAGGGATGAACAGACAAAGCATACAGGATTTTTAAGGGAGTGATATCATACTATATATATGATACTATAATGGTGGATACACATCATGATACATCTAATCCCAGAGAATATATAACACTAAGAGTGAACCCTAATGTAAACTACAGACTCTGAGTGACAATGATCTGCTAATGCAGGTTTATCAATTGTAACAAATGTATTATTCTGGTATTAATAATGTGGGAGGCTATGCAGTGTGGATACAGGAGATATATGGGAAATCTTGGTATCTTCCATTCAGTTTTGCTGTGAACCTAAAATTGTTCTAAAAAATAAAATCCATTAAAAAAATATATATATATAAAACTACAATCACAAATCATATTAAATAAAAGACAAAGTTACTCAAATCTTAGCAAGGAAGTTAAATTACAATGTGTCCAGTTATACTTGGTTTGACTTTATTTCTAACTAGAAATTTATTCAGATAAATATAATTACATTTGTGGAAAACACCCAGAGAGATGTCTGTTATTAGATGTCTGTATGGATTAGAATTGTTGGTTATTTTCCCATCATCTTCATGGCATCTTTCTTTTAGTCGCCTTTAGGGTGAATCCATTGGAGAAAGGCTGAAAAGCTATTGAGGACGCAAAACAACACTAGACAAGAATAAAGTCTAGCCTTTACGACTGACTTTGTCATTGATGTACTAAGTGACTTTGTGCATTTAAATATTATCTTCCGGACAATGTGCTTTCCATATTCTGAGTTCTACAGGCTTTTTTGTTTAGATTAAAAACATCCAGGGGCACCTGGGTGGCTCAGCAGGTTAAGCGTCTGACTATTGATCTTAGCTCACGTCTTGATCTCTGGGTTTTGAGTTCAAGCCCTGCACTGGGCTCCACACTGGGCCCCCAAAAACCAGCAAGCAAGCTGCAGAACAGTTTACATTATATGATCCCTTTTAAAAGTGACATATATCTGTTTAATCAGAAAAAAGTCTAGAGGCACCCCCGGTGGCGCAGCGGTTTAGTGCCGCCTGCAGCCCGGGGTGTGATCCTGGAGATCCAGGATCGAGTCCCACATCGGGCTTCCTGCATGGAGCCTGCTTCTCCCTCTGCCTGTGTCTCTGCCTCTCTCTTCGCTCTCTCTGAATGAATAAATAAATAAATCTTAAAAAAAAAAAAAAAGTCTAGAAGGATAAACATAAAACTATTAAACTGGGTTACCCCTTGGGGCACCTGGATGGCTCAGCTGATTAAGCGTTGGACTCTTGATTTCAGCTCAGATCATGATCTCAGGGTCCTGAGATCGAGTCCTGAGTCAGGCTCTGCAATCAGCTTGGAGTTTGTGCTTGTCCCTCTCCTCCTCCCCCTGCTCACTCTCTCTCTCTCAAATACATAAATAAAATCTTTAAAAAAAAAAAAAAAAGTGGGTTACTCCCAGAGTAGGAAATGAAACATTTTCACCTTTAATTTTATACAAGTGCTTGCTGTTTTTTAAAACCTTAAGAAGTTTTTAAAAAACCATAGAAAAGCGCAAGGATGCATATTCAAAATACATGTAAGGTTAGGAAAACAAAGATTTACTTCTGTACAGTAGAGCAATAGATTTCTGTTGTTCTGCTACCAAAATTTTTGGCAGCCTGATGAAACCTTATAAATTCATATTCAAAATAATTTTCTTAAATTTAAATTAACAACTCAACTACTGAAACAAACTGTTACACAAAAAGATGTTTTAATGAATGTGTGGAGGGAAAAAAACACACATAAGCATTTTGGCAAGTAATCCTGCTATTGCTTAAAGTCTTTTTTAAGTTATTTTTTTCTTTTTTAAAAAAGGCTTTCTTTCTCTTTCTTTCTTTTCTTTCTTTCTTTCTTTCTTTCTTTCTTTCTTTTCTTTCTTTCTTTCAGGTGGGGGGGAAGGAGAGGGAGAAAGAATTTCCAGCTGACTTCTCACTTAGCACAGAGCCCGACCTGGGGCTTAATCTCTCAACCCTGAGATCATGACCTGAGCAGAAACCAAGAGTTGGATGCTTAACTGACTGAGCCACCCAGGTGTCCCAGTTATTTTTTTTCTGATAAAAGTTTTTTAAAGTTCATGTTTATAAAAAAAAAAAAAAAAAAAAAAAAAAACAGAAAACAGGGGCACCTGGGTGGCTCAGTGGTTGAGTGTCTGCCTTCGGCTCAGGCCGTGATCCCAGGGTCCTGGGATCGAGTCCCACATCAGGCTCCGTGTGGGAAGCCTGCTTCTCCCTTCTGCCTGTATCTCTGCCTCTGTGTCTCTCATGAATAAATAAAAAAAAATCTTAAAAAAAAAATAAACAGAAAACAGAAAAATAAAGAAAATTAAAACCAACCATAATCCTATCACCTCAAAAATAGTCATTTCCAACATCCTAATTTCTGACCTAGCCATTCATTCTCCCAGCCTTACTTGGTTACTCCTGACTACATCAGAAACTTGTCTCTTGATAGCACTTACTATCTTCTCCCTATTTGTCAGTCTCTACTCCATCCACCCAGCTTGGATTGCACTGTATACCACTTCAACTACTCTTAAAAATGTTCTCATTTCTTTTGGCTCCACTGTACTTCAAAAAAGGGTTAAATATTTACTTTATGAGATTAATGATGAATACTAAGCCTAGTACCTGGAATTCGATAAGCAGTCAAAAAACATGATAGCTGTTAAATAACAACAAAAGAGACACCAATCTTCTGTAGCAGTGGTATTCACCTAAGGATTATGTCACAATCACCTTGAGAGCTTTTCAACACATACATACCTGTACCTACTTACCCTAATGAGAATCCAATTCACTCATGGTAGAAATAAGCAGATTAGTCTGTAAAAGCAGCTAAATTATTCTTAAATATCCTACCTTTTCCTTTAGGGAAATGGTTTTCAATGGGGCAGGGGTGGATTTGTTTCCTTCTCGGGGATATTTGTAATGTGTGGTGACATTGTGTGGTTGTCATAACCAGGGTAGCAGGAGAACTACTGGCATCTCATGGGTAGAGGCCTGGATTATTGCTAAACATCCTACAATACACAAGCAGTCCCCTGTAACAAAGAATTATCCAGCCAAAATGTCAACAGTACCAGGGTTTTTAGACCTGTACCAGAGTTACAGACTCTACTTTTTGGCCTTTTATCTATAGAAATAAACAAAAACTCAATCACAACCTATAAGCAGTCTTAAGGAAAATTATTAGATGTAATTTCTACCAAGAAAACTTTTTAAAGATTTTATTTATTTATTTTAGAGAAACAGATTGAGAGAGGGGGTGAAAGAGTGCACAAGTGCAGGGACGGGCAGGAAGAGAGAGACAAGCAGGCTCAGGACTCAGAGCCTGACTCAAGGCTCAATATCATAATACTGAGATCATGACCTGAGCTAAGCTAAGGATTAGACATTTGGCACTCCAAGAAAACTTTTTCTAATTATACTGTCCTTATCAACCGTTTTCATCTCACAATAAGATATGCTGACTGCTTAATAAACTAGCCAAAGGAATAGAAAAATAGTGAATAATAATATGCAGCTGTAGTCAACATAACCAATCTATAAAATATGTGACTCTTCTTTGAGCATATTACTTCTACTAGTAGTCGTTTTAGGAAACAGAATACCACTTACAGGACCCTCTAATATTTCAATTACCTTTCTAGTCTGAGAAGTAAAATCTCCATCAGTTGCTTCAGATTTCTCGCATCTTTTCTTATATTTTCTCTTAGGTTTTTTGGGAATACTAATTCTGGTGAATTTCATTCTGGGGGAAAAAAAGATTTTCGGAAACATTCTCATGATTATGTGTCAGATTTTCAATTAAATACAGAAAAGAACCAACTAGGGCTCAAATTTCTGGACATTTCTTAAAAACAAAAAGACTCCTTATTAGTTTCAAACTACTAATGAAAAGTAAGCCAAACTCAAAGCTAAACTCTTAGAAAATATAAAATGTTTCCTTTTAGAAATCATAAACTTTACAGAAAATTACCTCCTAAGATCATTCTTCCACTGGCCAAAACCAGCATGAAAGTATATACCTCATAGTACACGACTCAGTTTACCCAAGAAATAAAACTCTGACTTATTTTTAATCTTAAGTTTGTTAGATGCACAAAATTCCTATTTGAAAAATATTTCCCTAGGGAATTAGTAACTGTTGTAATGGTTTGAAATCATGTAAAATACATCTAGATTTCTTCTGAAATCATGCTTGACTTTAAATTAAATGTGGAAAATAAACAGCATTTTTAAACTGTTTTGTTTCTTATAAATCTGCTGTGTTCTAGAAAAAATAATACTCCAATGCTTTACATATTTTCCTTCCCAGCTAATAATGTATGCAGATACTGAGAACTTCAGAACAAAAACAAAACTTTACCTAATAGGGCTCTCTGAGTCAGATGGTACTGTTATTAATTCTGCTGTATATAAGCTATGCTTTTCTGGTAAGTTGGCTGCTTTTGGAGTGGAGGTCTTTGCTGGACTACCATCTTCAGAATCAGTACCACTAATGACTATTGCTGTAGGTGTACTGCTGGTTCTTACAGATCTTCTGGTTGACTTGGGTGTGGAAACATTTACCAAACTGTCTTCAGCTTCAACTTTAGAATGTATAACCATATCCTTAACTGGTATGCTGATTTTTCTTGAAGACTTCTTGTTACACAGAGAGGAAATCTTTAGATGGTCATCATTTGCTAAATCTTTGTAAGTAAGACTTTCACAGTTCAATAATGTACTGTTTTTGAAAATCTCTGTTTTCTTTGGTCTTAAACTCATTCTAAGCCTATTTTGATTCCGTTTATCTTTTAAGGAAAAAGTTGTTGCTTTCTTTTGAGTATTTCCCTGTCTATTTTCACCTGGAATAGTACCAGTATCCAACATTTTCTTACCCCTTTTCTTCAGCTTTTTACTTTTCTCCTTAGGAAAACTTCCTTTATCAGTGTGTGACTGTGAATTTGAAACCACTTGACTATTAGGATTTTCCATGGTTTTTTTAGAATTATTGTCTCTTCCTTCCTCATTTATAGATTTTTCATTGAGCTCTTTCTGCTTATCAGAAGACTTTCTGACTCCATTTTTAAGCACATCTGATGCTGGCTGTCTAAATGCTTTCATAAACTGCTGTCTTTCCTCTAGAGTGCATTTTGGTTTCACAGCTTCAGAATTTCCAGTTTCCAACACCGCCAATTCTAATTCTTCTTCCTGTATAACAACATTAGATTTTCTTTTCTGAACAGTCTGTTCACTCTCAGGATCAGACAGACTATTTTCCATTTCCAACTGCTTTTGTTTCAAGAAAATTGAGGGTATTTTCCTTGTCTTTCTGGGGGGAACAGGATGAACCTGTGCAAGAACAGTAACTGTCTTATAGCGTACATGTTGGGAAATTTCACAGGTTTCTGGGTCACTTATACAACCACTTTTGACCATCTCTTCAACAGTTTCAGAAGGAATACAAATTGACACTGCAGAGTCTGGTATGTGTTCTACTGTATTTTCCTTGTGACTTTTTAGAAATTCCTCATATGAGACAGTAATTGTATTATCATTTAAGTGGGCTGTTTTAGTTATATCACCTCTAGAGTCTGCATCATTTGCAGTACTCTTGATCTCATTAGTTAGGGAAGGCATGATCTGTTTCCCATATTTACCATCTTTTTGAAGATTTAGTTCCTCTGCCAATGGTAAGCTTTCAGATAGATCTATTATATCTCTGTGCTTCCTTTTTCTCATTTTTTTGCAATCATTTTTTGTGATCCCTTGTTTAGGATTCACTTTCTTAGAGCTTTTTATGGAGGTCATAGTACTTGACTGCTTTTTGATATCTTGAATACTTTGTGCAAGTTTCTTGTAGAGTAAAGCAGAAGTTCTACTTTCTACAAAATCATTATTTAGACTAGAGTCTTCTTTGCTATCATCACTACTAATTTTAACCGAAGATTCATTTTCAGTTTTAACATTATTTAGTTGATGAGATAAATTAACTCTCTTTCCTCTCTTCTTAAATTCTATGTTTGAGAACATTTCCAAAGGTGTTTTACAGTCTTTGCCACTGTCAGCAGACAATGGTGCCGAGGACTTTTTCTTGCACTCTTTTGCTGATTGTGTCTTTTCATTTGTGGGAGAAGTCTTTCTAAAATAATCCAGAATATTGCTGGATTTTGGTGGAGAGAAAACACTCTCTCCAGTCTTCCCAACTGGTGATAAATATTTTGTAATTGTTTTGCAGGAAGATTTCTCATCATCTTTCCTTCGCTTTTTGCATGCCTATCAGTTTAAGAAGAAAAAAAAAAAAACGCTTATTTCAAGCAAAGTAACACAAAACATAAATTGTAAACATGGATTTAATATTTTACCCAAATTGATTTAAAAAAGGAAGGCTCCCTTAGGTAATGAACCTGATATATTAGGAAAACAGAGCTTTAAAATTAAACCTACATTCAAATCGCAATATCACATCAAGTAATACACTTATAATTCGTGTATTTTACTTTATATATGCTTCAATAAAAAGTTTCAAGGCTACTACACATACGCACAAAGGTGTTCATTTCTATTGGTCGCTGTTTACAACCTTTGAGTAGTAATACCCACGTAACACCCACCCCACAACATTTGTAACAAATACACTGCATAAAAATAATGTGAAATCGGGCAGCTCAGGTGGCTCAGCGGTGGCTCAGCGGTTTAGCGCCACCTTCGGCCCAGGGTGTGATCCTGGAGTCCCGGGATCGAGTCCCACATTGGGCTGCCTCCATGGAGCCTGCTTCTCCCTCTGCCTGTGTCTCTGACTCTCTCTCTCTCTCTCTCTCTCATAAATAAATAAATAAATAAACAAACAAACAAATAAATAAATAAAATCTTTAAAAAATTAAAAAAAAAACCTACCATCATTTAAAACAAAGTACTGGAGCCACCTGGCCAGCTCAGTCAGGAGAGCGTGCGACTCTTGATCTTAGGGTTATGAATTTGAGGCCCACACTGAGTGTAGAAATTACTTTAAAAAAAAGAAAAAGCATAAGGTAGCCAACATAATGGAATGGGTTAGAAAACCAGAAAAAGAAATAAGTATGTATTTAAGAACTTGGTATATGAGACCAGTAGCAAATAAGTTAGTGAGCAAGTAAGTAGTTAATAAATGGTATTGGGACAAATTTCTTTTTTTCTGTGGTGGGGGGGGACGACAAATTTCTAACCAGCTGGATAATAGGAGGCAAAATAAATTAGAGATTAAAATGTTATATGTTGAAATGAAATAGTAAATGCATTAGAATAAAATGCTAATGAGCTATTAGTATTATTATTATTACCCTGAGATGGTATCAAAGGCATGATACCATAGGCTCTGGAGTCAGGCAGATATAATTTAAGTGCTGGCTCTGACGTCTACTAGCATGGTACCTTAAGCATTTACTTTTGACTTTTTTAAGTTTTTTTGTTTTGTTTTGTTTTTTAAGATTTTTTAAAATTTGAGATCCCTGGGTGGCGTAGCAGTTTGGTGCCTGCCTTTGGCCCAGGGCGCGATCCTGGAGACCCGGGATCGAATCCCACGTCGGGCTCCCGGGGCATGGAACCTCCTTCTCCCTCTGCCTATGTCTCTGCCTCTCTCTCTCTCTCTCTCTCTGTGACTATCATAAATAAATACAAACTTCTTTAAAAAAGATTTTTTAAAATTTATTCACGAGAGACACGCAGAGAGAGAGAGAGAGAGAGGCAGAAACATAGGCAGAGAGAGAAGCAGGCTCCATGCAGGGAGCCCAATGTGGGACTCGATCCCGGGACTCCAGGATCACGCCCTGGGCTGAAGGCAGACACTCAATCGCTGAGCCACCCAGGCGTCTCAACTTTAAGTTTTTAAAGTAGACTCCATAGTGTGGAGCCCAACACAGGGCTTATACTTACAACCCTGAGATCAAGACCTCAGCTGAGTTCAAGAATCAGACACTTAAGGGATCCCTGGGTGACTCAGTGGCTTAGCGCCTGCCTTTAGCTTAAGGCTTGATCCTGGAGTCCCGGGATCGAGTCCCACATCAGAATCCCTGCATGGAACCTGCTTCTCCCTCTGCCTGTCTCTCTCTCTCTCTCTCTCTCTCTCTCTCTCTCTGTGTGTGTGTGTGTGTGTGTGTGTGTGTGGTGTGTGTTCCTGATGAATAAATAAAATCTTTAAAATAAAGAGTCAGACACTTGGACAACTGAGCCACCCAGGCACCCTCTTTAACTTTCTAATTTTTCTAACTTAACTTACTTTTAATTACTTTAAAAAAAAAATTTTTATGTGAGAGAGAGAGAGAGCATGGGGGTGCAGAGGGAGAAGAAGCAGACTCTCCACTGAGCAGAGAGCCCAACTTGGGGCTCAATCCCAGGGCCCTGGGATCATGACCTGGGCCAAAGGCAGATGCTTCACTGACTGAGCCACCCAGGTGCCCCACTTTTATTATTTTTTAACCTTCTTCCCTCATCCATTCATATGGATCATACAGATAATGAGAACTCATGACAGGGTTGATATTAAGCAAAATAATGTGTACAAGACTCCTACCCTTGCAATACTAAAAGGTAAGCATCATTATTATGAAATAAGATAGGCAGGGCACCAAAAGGAGAAACTGTAAGGAAAGCTTGATAAAAACTGACCATACAAGAATCAAGAACTGTCTAATTCAAGTACCATCAAGTCCTTCTTCACACCCAGGAAAGCTGAGCAACTGCCTTGATTTAGCAAACAAGTATCAGCATAACAATTGGCAAGTTGACAAAAGTTATCCACTGATAAAAAAAAAGAGAGAGAGAGAGAGTCAGTCCCAGTTAAATAAATGAACGTACATCTTGGCTCCTTCCAAGGGCACCTGTATGCGTCTTTCAGTTAGAATGCTAGCTTGAGACGAAAAGGTGTAAAAATATAGCAACCATCACCTTGAGATGCTACTCCAGCACTTCACGGCATTGGAGTATCCTCACACCGACTGCTCAGTGCATTTCACTGAAACTCGGTGAATACGTTAAGAATAGCAGCGTTCCCCGCTGGGACTCCTAACCGCAGTAGCTTAGGCTCTAGGGCCATGAGAACAGACAGACGAGTTGAACTTCAAGATTCTTTTCAAGCTAAAGTTCTGATTCCTTACGATGAGCCCAGACCTGATCCTGGGGGCCTCTGAGACATCTCACAAGTCCAAAACGCCAGGTTCCGCCAACTCTTTTCAGGATCTGGGACCGGGGTCGCGCGGTGTCTCCCGAAGCCCTGCCTTCGCGGGCCCGCACACGTCTCACGGTCTCCACGGCCGTCGGTCCCTTCGCGACTCGGGAAGCGACGGGCTCGAGCAGTCGTGGCACGCAAGGTCACAGCCAGGTCCCTCCTCTCCCCTCCCAGGGCCGGGGTCGGGGTCACCCTCCACCCACCTCCTCCGGCCAGAGACGCGCTAGCTCACCTCAATCTCGTAGTCCTTCACCGGAGGGGGAGCAGCTGCCGCCGCCATGGCCAGGACCCCCACCATGCTCCCAGCTTCCCCGAACGCCGGCTCCTAGGGCGCTGCGCGGCCGGGCCCCCTCAGCCCGGGGGCCATGGAGGCGGCCGGCTCCCGCACAGGGAGCAGCCGGGCCGCGGGGGCCGTCTCCCTCTGCCCCGCGCCCACCCGGCCGGAGCGGTCGCGGAGGCCGGGCCCAGCTCACCAGCTCCGCCGAGTCGGACGCGGGAAACGGCGGCAAGAAAGCGCGGGCTGCGAGGAGCCCGGGGCGCGGCCGGCCGGCGCGGGGGCGCCTGGACGCGGGCGGGCCCCAGGCTGAGCGCCCGGGACTTCGACCCCGGCCGGCAGAGCAGGCCGAACGCGGAGCGGACCCGCGGGCTTCGGACGGAGTTCTTGTCAATTGGGTTTTCGCGCCGTCCGGAGCGCAGGGGGCGGAGCTTAGGCTTGCTTCTGGAGGCTGCGCGGACGGCGCCCGGAGAGGGCCAAAACACTTCTGGGGCGAAGCTGCGGCGGGCGCGGTCCGTCTCCCAGCGGGACTTGGAGCTCTAGCCGGTCCGTCGGAGCTTCGAACTGCTCGCGCCCAGCGTCAGCGGTGAAGACGTGATTGCACTCAAGTCCGTTGGTGGCAGAGTTAAAACGCTAGGCTTTTGACGCCCCGGGCTAGCCTCTTTTTAAAAGCGGAAATTCGAAAAATACAGAAAAAGGAAATAATGCATTACATTCCTCCCAGACGGGATGTTATTTAGGCAAGCGTCCCACCTCGAGATGCTCCCATTTGGGATCCGAGATTGTGACTTTGAACCCTTAGTTGAGCTAAAGAGGCATTTCTTCTCTTGGACTTCGTCCCCCGCAGGCAGTTAGGAGCCCAACAGGGGCCTCAGCTAGTTGGGAGTGTTTTCCATCTGTCGCAGTTACCAGTGCTTTGCTGGTTTGAAGTGATGCTAATCTTGTACGTTATTTGCATTGTTTGCATTGTTTTCGTGGATTGGTTTAGCTATGACCTTTTTTTTTTTTTTTAACATTCGTTGCAGTGACATATAGAGTCTGTTTATTTTGAGTGCCTAGTTTTGTCTATGTGGTATTAACCGCAAAGTAAGGCAGGTAAAAGGATGTATCAAACAGTAAGGGGAAGCCACCCTGTTAGGGCAGGTTATGCATACTGCTTGTAACTACTGAGGCAATTGTGTTGCTGTTGTTTTGACGACATAAAGGATACAAATTTCTCCAATGAAACTGAAGATAATCATTGTTTTCTTTAAAATTATCAGCCCAGGGGGTGCCTGGGTGGCTCAGTCGGTTAAGCATCTGTCTTCCACTGAGGTCATGATCTTGGGGCCCTCAGATCCAGCTCCCTGCTCAGCAGAGCCTGCTTCTCTTTCTGTCTGCCACTCCCCCTGCTTGTGCTCTCTAAAAAATAAATAAAATATTTTTTAAAATAAAATTATTAGCCCAGGATAAGGTTTTTCAGGGCTACCTTCAGTCTTCTAAAATATATATTGTTTTGTTGTTCTGTTTTTTTTTTTAAGATTTTATTTATTTATTCATGAGAGACAGAGAGAAAGAGACAGAGACACAGGCAGAGGGACAAGCAGGCTCCCTGCAGGGAACCTGATTCGGGGCTTGATCCCAGGACCCCAGGATCACACCCTGAGCCAAAGGCAGAGATGCTCAATCACTAAGCCACCCAGGTGTCCCCTGGTTTGTTTTTTTTTAATTACTAACCATAGAGTAAGAACATTGCCCAAGGAGATGGATGAGGAAGAGGACAAGGAGGAGAAATAAATGAGAAGATTACAGAGAAAATAGAAAGTCCCCTTGACTTCCACCCCCAAACTCACTGTCTTCTTGGCCCCGGTGCTGGCCATTACTATCTATTTTGTGGGTAGCACTGCAAACATTTATACTTTTACCTACATATATGTATCCATAGAAATATCTTTATGTTGTCTTTATTTACAGAAAAGGTAACACTGTAAATATCACTCAGCAATCTGCTTTTTTCATTCATCATTGTTTTCAAATTTTTTTTTTTTTTATAGGCACACAGTGAGAGAGAGAGGCAGAGACACAGGCAGAGGGAGAAGCAGGCTCCATGCACCGGGAGCCCGATATGGGATTCGATCCCGGGTCTCCAGGATCGCGCCCTGAGCCAAAGGCAGGCGCCAAACCGCTGCGCCACCCAGGGATCCCTCATCATTGTTTTCAAAAGCTATCCATGATACATGTAGATCCGATTCACTCTTTCATTCCTGAGCATTCCATCCAATTAGCCACATTTTATTTATCCATTTCCTTAGTGATGAACATTTAAGCTGTCTCCAATTTTCCGTTTCTGCAAGTCAGTGAAAACTCTTGTCTATGTCTCCTTAAACCTATGTAATGTTTCACCAGAAGACACACCTAGAAGTAGAATTGCTGGATGATCAGGGTATATTTCTAGTGCTTTTTATTCTTCTCAGTTACTAAGCATTTAAACTGTACTGGGTTTGTTTTTGTTTGTTTTGTTTTGTTTTTGTACTGGTTTGTTAAGCATTTGCATTGAGTTAGTATTTTACACAACTCTTCTGTAGGAGCTCATGGCACTTAGAAGTTTTAAATTAAATAAATATTCACATTTGTATAGCAATTTAGCATTTACAATATGTCCGTGGGGTTTTTTTATTATCTTCCCCTACTTTTTTTTTAATTTTTTTTTTAAATTTTTATTTATTTATGATAGGCACACAGTGAGAGAGAGAGAGAGAGGCAGAGACATAGGCAGAGGGTGAAGCAGGCTCCATGCACCGGGAGCCCGACGTGGGATTTGATCCTGGGTCTCCAGGATCGCGCCCTGGGCCAAAGGCAGGCGCTAAACCGCTGCGCCACCCAGGGATCCCTTAATTTTTTTTTTTTATTCATTTATGATAGGCACACAGTGAGAGAGAGAGAGGCAGAGACACAGGCAGAGGGAGAAGCAGGCTCCATGCACCGGGAGCCCGACGTGGGATTAGATCCCGGGTCTCCAGGATCGCGCCCTGGGCCAAAGGCAGGCGCTAAACCGCTGCGCCACCCAGGGATCCCTCTTCCCCTACTTTTAAAGATTTATTTATTTATTTAAGAGAGAGAAGGTAGGGGGAGCAGAGGCAGAAAGACAAGCAAACTCCTCGCTGAGGGCAGAGCCCATCACAAGGCATATCATGACCTGAGCTGAAATCAAGAGTCCCAGGCTTATCCAACTGAGCACCCAAGCACCCCACCCCTACTTTTAAAAACTATTAACTTTTATATTTATCGGGGCACCTGGATGGCTCAGTCTGTTGAATATCTGCCTTCCGCTTGGGTCATGGACCTTCCCATGGTCCTGGGATCGAGCCCCATGTTGGGCTCCCTGAACAGTGGGGAGTCTGCTTCTCCCTCTCCCTCTGCCCCCGTTTGTGCTCGCTCTCTCTCTCTCTCTCTCTCTCTCAAATAAATAAATAAAATCTTAAAAAAAAACCTTTTATATTTATCAAAGTCATGCCTGCATTTAGTTAACAAATGTCAAAGAGCATTACAAAACTTACTATCAAAAAAGAGCTGGGGCACCTAGGTGGCTCAGTCAGTGAAGTGTCCAACGTGATCTCAGCTCAGGTCATGATCTCAGGGTCAAGCTCCATGATCAGTGGGGAGTCTGCCTGAGATTCTTGCCCTCTCCTTCTCCGCCTGTCCTTCTCCTGCTCATACTCGATCTCTCTCTAAAATAAATCAATAGGGCAGCCCCAGTAGCTCAGCAGTTTAACGCCGCCTTCAGCCCAGGGCGGGATCCGAGACGCGGGATCCTGGAGACCCGGGATCAAGTCCTGCATGAGGCTCCTGCATGGAGCCTGCTTCTCCCTCTGCCTGTGTCTCTGCCTCTCTCTCTCTCTATGTCTCTCATAAATAAATAAATAAAATATTTTAAAATAAATCAATAAATCTTAAAAATAAAAAGAGTTCATTTCTTTCTCTCTTTTTTTTTCTTTTTTAAAGATTTTATTTATTCATGAGAGACACACACAGAGAGAGAGAGGCAGAGCAAGAAGCAGGCTCCATGCAGGGAACCTGATGTGGGACTCGATCTGGGATTACACCCTTGCCCAAAGGCAGGTGCTAAACTGCTGAGCCACCCAGGATCCCTGCTTTTTTCTTTCTAAAGTATGGTCTATGGGATCCCTGGGTGGCTCAGCGGTTTAGCGCCTGCCTTTGGCCCGGGGCACGATCCTGGAGTCCCGGTATTGAGTCCCACGTCGGGCTCCCAGCATGGAGCCTGCTTCTCCCTCCTCCTGTGTCTCTGCCTCTCTCTCTCTCTATGTCTATCATAAAAAAACAAATAAATAATTTTTTAAAAAAATAAAGTAGGCTCTATGCTCAGTGTAGGGCTTGAACTTGCCACCCTGAGATCAAGAGTCACGTGATCTACTGACTGAGCCAATCCCATGCCTCAAAAAGAGCTGATTTCTATCTCATATAGTATAATTTTCCAGAGGCAGTCACTTTCAAAACTCTTCTATCACTATAAATATCTTCTTGTGTGTGTGTGTTTTTTTTTAATTTTATTTTATTTTATTCATGAGAGACACAGAGAGAGAGGCAGAAACACAGGCAGAGGGAGAAACAGGCTCCCTGGGGGGAGCTGGATGCGGTACTCAATCCCAGGACCTCAGGATCATGCCCTGGGCCAAAGGCAGACACTCAACCACTGAGCCATCCCTATCTCCTTGTTTTTTTTTAAATATTTTTATTTATTTTAGAGAGAAAGTGTGTGAGCACAAGCGGGGAGAGGGGCAAAGGGAGAGAGTGAGAAAAACCCAAGCCGACTCCACACTGAGAGTGGAACCTGACTCAGGGCTGGATCCTAGGACCCTGAGATTATGACCGGAGCTGAAACCAAGAGCTGGCTGCTTAACCAACTGAGCCACCCAGGTGCCCATCTCCTTATGTTTATTTTATTTTTAATCTTTTTAAGATTTTATTTATTTATTCATGAGAGACATGCAGAGAGAGAGAGGCAGAGACATAGGGAGAGGGAGAAGCAGGCTCCATGCAGGGAGCCCAATGTGGGACTCGATCCCAGAATTCCAGGATCACACCCTGAGCCAAAGGCAGACGCTCAACCACTGAGCCAACCAGGAGTCCCTCCTTATGTTTAAATAGAGCAATATGCTTATACAGCTATTTCTTGATTTAACAATTTTAAAAAGTACTCGTTAATGTCCTTTTATGTTGGTTAAGGATTTAATTCTCTTATAACACCACCCTCCACTCTTTCTCTCCTCCCACCTTCCCAATATAATTATAAAGAATTGTATACCTGTAAACAAATGTTCATAGCAGCTTTATTTGTAATAGTAAAATACTGCATCAAAAGACATAGTGTGATACCTCCATATCATGGAATACTATCAGTA